TGAGTGGTTTGGACGTGGGAAGGCTGGCTTGGCTTGAATCCTGACTCTGCTTTGAAACTTTGCAAGAATCACTTCTGGGTTTTTTTTTTTTTTTGGTTTGTTGTGGGGCTTGAACTCTGGACCTGGGCACTGTCCCTCAGCTCTTCAGCTCAAGGCAAGCACTCTACCATTTGAACCACAGCGTCACTTCTGGTTTTCTGAGCAATTTATTGGAGATCAGAGTCTCATGGACTTTCCTGCCTGGGCTGGCTTTGAACTGCGATCCTCAGATCTCAGCCTCCTGAGTAGCTAGGATGACAGCCATGAGCCATCAGCACGTGGCCTGTGAGACTCTTATCTCCAATGAACACACCCACACCCACACCCACATACAAAAATGCTGGAGGTAGAGTGGTGGCTCAAGTGGTAGAGAGCACTAGCCTTGAATGAAAAAGCTAAGGGCCAGTGCCCAGGCCCTGAATTTGAGAATGTGCATGCACACACACACACACACACACACACACACACACACACACACACACACACACACACACACACACACACACACACACACCATGCTAGAAATAGCTTTTGTGGAGCAAGGCTTGACATTTTCCATCTGCCTTGACTGACCAGCTGTGACCGAGATGATGACGCAGACCGGATGAGAGGGAGAAAGAACCCACAGTATCATTCCTAGAAGAAGAATAACCTTGATTGAACCCCAGTAGTTTGGACTCCCCCACCCAGGGTCAAAGAGGCAATCAGATGAGTTTATAACTCCAGTTCTGAGAGGGGAGGGAGGGAGGGAGGGAGAAATAGAGAGGCGAAGAGAGGGAAGGAAAGGGAGAGGAAGAAAGAAGACAGGAGGGGAAGGAGAAGCAACAGTCCTGGGAGGGATTGCAATTGGTCCCTACATACCTCTCCCCTCTCAGTCTTCAAGAGAGGAGACTCACAATGCTCCTTCCAAAGATACAAGGTCTGGGGCTGGGAAGGTGGCTCAGGTGGTAGAGCGATTGCCTTGCATGCTCGAGGCCCTGGGTTCGATTCCTCAGCACTACATAAGCAAAAAGAAAAAAGCCAGAAGTGGCACTGTGGCTCAAGTGGTAGAGCGCTCGCCTTGAGCTGAAGAGCTGAGGGACAGCGCCCAGGCCCAGAGTTCAGGCCCCATGACCGGATCCAAAAAAACAAACAAACAAAGATACAAGGTCTAAGGGGGACAGGGTCATTTCCTCAAGATCCCAAAATATAGCAGAGAGCTAGGCAGGTGGCTTAGTGGTAGAGTGCTGGTCTAGCATGCACGAAGCCCTGGGTTCCATTCCTCAGTACCGAATACACACAAAAAGCCAGAAAGGGGGAAAACAGGGGGGGGGGGGCGAGGACAGTTGTGGAGGTGGGAGGGAAGGGATGGTAGGGGAAAATCAAAGGAGGAGACAATGCTTGATAGGAAATGTACTCATTACCTTGCTCATGTAACTGTAACCCCTCTGTACAGCATTTTTACAATAAAAAAACATATTAAATTTTTTTTAAAAAGCCAGAAGTGGCACTGTGGCTCAAGTGATAGAGTGTTAGCCTTGAGTTCAAGGCCCTGAGTTCAAGCCCCAGGACTGACCAAAAAAAAAAAAAGATACCTTACCTCTACTATACCAGAAGAAAAGTAGTATGGGGAAAATATAGATTACAGGGCCAGAATAATAAATGCATGGCCCAGGAATCTGCATTTTTAATCTGTCCTGAGGCTTGAACTCAGGGCCTAGGCACTGTCCCTGAGCTTTTCTTTTGCTCAAGGCTAGCACTCTACCACTTGAGCCACAGCGCCACTTCTGGCTTTTTCTGTGTATGTGGTACTGAAGAATCGAACCCAGGGCTTCATGCATGCTAAGCCAGCACTCTACCACTAAGCCACCTTCCCAGCCCAGAATCTGCATTTTTGTCTGCTGGTACTGGGGTTTGAACTCAGAATCTGGGTGTTCTATTCCATTCAAGGCTGGTACTCTTACTGCCTGAGCTACACCTCCACTTCTGGCTTTTTGTTGGTCATTTGGAGATAAAGAGTCTTACAGACTTTCCTGCACAGGCTAGTTTTGAACCATGATCCTCCGATCTCATTCTCCTGAGTAGCTAGGATGACAGGTTGAGGTACCAGGCCACATTACCTTGGCTGGATGTGTACCATCCTGGCAATGGTTCTGTGAGTTCAGGACCAGCCTGTGTTACTCATGTACTGCCTCTCTGGTCTGACTTCCTGCCCCAGCTTCTGGCTGGATTCCTTTAACTCAGCTGTTGAAGCTGACTCATTCCATCCCCTACTCCACCCTTGCAGACCTGGGCCTTTCCCTCTCCACACAGCATCCAGAAGTTTCCCAGTGTTATTTGGATCCACCCTTCCAGCCAGATAGCATCCATATCTTTTTTGGATGTCTTCCCTGGTTAGCATCTCCCTCCGGAGTTCTTGTTAGAGAACTTCATCTGCAGTTGTTTCCCACATTTCGATTTCATTTTCCTTTTGAGTCGGACTTCTCCCCACCCCCAGCCTTTCCCTACAATTAAACAGGAAATTCCCAACGGGTTGGAGACATCAACAATACGATTCTGTAATCGATGACTTCATCCTGCTGGTGACCAGTGAATGACAGGTCTGGGAGCGGTGACCTGCCCAAGCAAAATCTACTGTTGACTTTTTTTTTTGCCAGTCCTCGGGCTTGAACTCAGGGCCTGGGCACTGTCCCTGAGCTTCTCTGTTCTCTGGGCTAGTGCTCTACCACTTGAGCCACAGTGCTACTTCTGGCTTTTTCTGTGTATGTGGTATACTGAGCAATTGAACCCAGGGCTTCATGCATGCTAGGCCAGCACTCTACCACGGAGCCACCTTCCCGGCCCCTACTGCTGACCTTTTACATTTTATGTTCCATATCACTTCAGTTATTGAGTTCTTTCTATTTTTGCTTTGTCGATCATCACCCATAAAACAGCCTTATAAGGAAGGTAGCCAGATATTAAAGGCCTCACTGCCCAGATTCAAATTAAAACAAAAGTAGTCTGGAGTTGATGGCTCACACCTGTCATCCTAGCTACTCAGGAGCCTGAGATCTGAGGATCTTGGTTCAAAACCAACCTTGGCAGGAAAGTCTATGATGAACCTCCAATGAACCACTAAGAAAACTGGAAGTGGCACTGTGGCTCAAAGTGGTAGAGCACTAGCCTTGAGCAAAAGAGCTCAGGATCAGCACTCCATCCCCAAGTTCAAGCCCCATGTCTGACAAAAAAAAAAAAGGCACAGAGCAGAGCATTCTACACTATCCTATCTTGTTCCCACTTCTAGCTGCTTTTGAGTCTGAGCTCAAGTGGTGACCTTTGCCTCCTTTCTCCTCCCCTCTGGTGAGTGGTGACTGCCCAGGACACTTTCGAAAGATGGGGGAGGGCGATGGTCTAGACTTCCACATCCTTCATCCTGGACCGATCTCAGTGTCACTGTGAACCTCAGGGACCTCCTCCGCAGGTGCAGACTCACCTTGCCAGCTTTGCAGGTGGCTGGGGTTCAGAGGGAGGGAATCAGGAAGGACTTGGGTACTTGATCTCCATTACATTGGACTTTGTTCCTCTTATTTAATGCCTAGCCGAGGAAGGAGCCCATCTGAACTCTCTCTTTTCTCCAGGTGGAGGAGGGCAGTTCTGAAGCCTGGCACAGGCCCAATCGAGCCCAGTCTGGGCCAAGCTGGGAAGGGTGTGAAGCACGAAAGCCAAGTTTGGCATTCCTGAGAGGGGTTTGCCAGGCCCTACCAAGTCCAGGTATGATCTCGGAAGACTCCCAAGAAGGCCTGGGCTCAATTCTGAACTCTGGGTTGGAGTTCTAAGCCACCTCGCTGGTGCCCGGGGTAGCCAGCAAAGACTTTGGACAACGAATGATAGAAAAGAAAAATAATGTAAGTGTTAAACTGTAGGGATGCATGCCGCCATCCTACCCCCAGCTCAGAGGAGTGGATTCCATCTAGCTGTTTTCCTTGATCCTCTCTGTAACATCTCAATTTTGGACCAGAAAGTACCAAACCTAGGGCTCCTGGCTCTTCTCCTTCCACAGTCATTATATTCAATGTACATGGTGTAAAACTGGAACTACATAACTTGAGGGTAGTGGAGGGGATGGGGAAAAGGTGGGGGAGAAAGATGGAAGGGATGATATGGATCAAGATGCATTATACTCATACTATGACTCTTAGAATTGAAACCCCTCTGTATAACTTGACTTTAAAAAGTTAGCAAAAAAAAAAAAAAAAAAAAGCCAGGCTCACGCCCGTCATCCTAACTATTCAGGTGGCTGAGATCTGAGGATCACGGTTCAAAACCAGCCTGGACAGGAAAGTCCGTGAGCCTCTGATCTCCAATGAAGCACCAGAAAACCAGAAGTGGCATTGTGGCTCAAGTGGTAGAGCGCTTGCCTTGAGCTGAAGAGCTGAGGGACAGCACCCAGGCCCTGCGTTCAGCACCCATGAGCAAACAACAACAAAAAAAACTACCAGGACCACTCCATTCTGGGCACATCCAGCAGCACAGAAAAAGACCCTGGCCAGGGAACCTCTTGCATGTGCAAGCTATTTTTCTTTTTTGCCAGTCCTGGGGCTTGAACTCAGGGCCTGGGTACTGTCCCCGAGCTACTGTGTGCTCAAGGCGAGCACTGTACCCCCTGAGCCACAGCACCACTTCTGGCTTTTTTTCTGTGTCTGTGGTGCTGAGGAATCGAACTCGGGGCTGCATGCATGCTAGGCTAAAGCCCTCGATCACTGACCCACCTTCCCAGGCCTCGGCTACGTTCTGAAAAACCAGAATCTGCTGGGGGTGCAACACAGCTCCCAGCTTCCCAGCCAGCCAGCCAGCCAGCCAGCCCCGCCCACTCGGCCCGTGGCGCCCGTGCGCGTGCGCAAAGCCGGGCCCCGCCCACAACCCCCCTAAGCCGGTTCCTCCCTCCTCCTCTCTCCCCCCGCCCACCCGCCGCCGCGCATGCGCAGCCGGTCGCCCCGGGTTGTATATTAAGGCGCCGGCGGGGTCGCGGCCTGAGGAGGCTTCGCGAGGACAAGGACAAACGGTTGGGTCGTCCCGTCGCCGTCTCAGCCGTGCAGGTGAGAGGGGGCGAGGCACTTCCTAGCCCGGGGGGTGGGGGGTGATGGAGAGGAGGAGGGGGGGGAAGGGATAGCCTGAGACACATCCCCCCAGCCCGGACCCCTCTGTCCCCTCCCCCCACCCCATACACCCCGGGATCGGGGGGGGGGGACCCCACCCTCCATCCCTCCCCGGCCCCCCCCCTCCCCAACGTCCATCCTTCCCCAGCTCCCATTCCCCCCTCCCCTTCTTCCTGCCTTCCATTCCTGGGGAGCCCCCCCCCAAACTCCCCTGTAACCCTTCCTCTCCCCCCCCCCCCATCACCGCCATCCAGGCTCTCCTGAGGGTCTGGGGGCACTTCACAGCCCCTGGATGTGTCCGATTAGCCAACACGTCCCCCCCTCCCTCCCTCCTCCTCCCCTCAACCTGGCCTTTTACCTGACACCCCTACATTTCCATCGCCCTCTCCCTGCCCGCCCTCTACCCCCACCCTGAGCTTAGGGGCTTGGACCTCTCTCTAGACAAGCCTCAGGGACTCTCCCAGGGTGGAGGGGTGGGGGGAAAGCATGGTGACCCTGGAGAAAGCCACCCCTTCCCCGGCACCCCCCACCAGTACCTGGTCCAGCCGCCTGGAGGCACATTCACACTGCCTTCTGGGAAACCGAGCCTCACTTCTGTCCACCTGGGCGTGTGTGTGTGTGTGTGTGTGTGTGTGTGTGTGTGTAAGGGTGTCTCAACTACACTGTGCATCTCGGCGGGAGCCTCTGGGCTCCCAGACCTGTTTCTGACTTGTCCTTTGTCCCTTCTACCTCCCCTTGGGGGGAAGGTGAATGGTCCATATCGACTTGGGGACATTATACCTGCTTATATAAGTGTATTTATTTATTTTTGTGCAATCCTGGCGCTTGAACTAAGGGGGCCTGGGCGCTGTCGCTGAGAGGTGGTTGTTCTCCGAGCTAGTGTTTGACCACCTGAACCCCAGCTTCTCATCTGGCTTCTGGTGGGTCATTTGGAGATAAAGAGTCACACAGACTTTTCCTGCCCAGCCAGTCTGTCTGCACACTGTGATTCTCAGATCTCAGCCCCCCTGATTAGCTGGGTGCTCAGCTATCGGCTTAAACTCTGGGCCTGGGCACTGTCCTCAGCATTTCAGCTTAAGGTGAGCACTCTACCACTTGAGCTACAGCACCACTTCTGGTTTTCTGGTGGTTTATTGGAGATAAGATTTTCACGGACTTTCCTGCCTGGGCTGACTTTGAACCTGGATCCTCAGATCTCAGCCTCCTGAGGAACTAGAATTACAGGTGTGAACCACTGGCACCTGGCCTATAGGAGTTTTTATTTTCTTTTTCATTTTTTCTTTCTTTTTCTAGTCCTGGAGCTTCAACTCAGGGCCTGGGCACTGTCCCTGAGCTGCTTTTGCTCAAGGCTAGCACTCTACCACTTTGAGCCACAGCACCACTTCTGGCTTTTTCTGTGTATGTGGTGCTGTGGAATCGAACCCAGGGCCTCATGCATGTGAGGCAAGCACTCTACCACTGAGCCACCTTCCCAGCCCTATAGCTGTTTTTCTATGGAGCAGGAGAATGAAGTTGGTGAGCTAGGTAGAGGATAAATCACCATGCCCTCACTGAGGTAGATATCAGAGCTATCCTTGATTGGTTGATTGATTTTAAGTGACATGTTAGTTACACTGGATATAAAGCTGCCAGAACCTTGGAACCTCTTGTGGTGGTGTTAGGCCTGGTTATTAATAATCGTGGGCTGGGTTGGGCACCGGTGGCTCATGCCTGTCATCCTAGCTACTCAGGAGGCTGAGATCTAAGGATCACAGTTCGAAGCCGGCCTGGGCAAGAAAGTCCATAAGACTCTTCTCTCCAGAAAACCAGAAGTGGCACTGTGGTTCAAGTGGTAGAGCGCTCGCCTTGAGCTGAAGAGCTGCGGGACAGCGCCCAGACCCACAGTTCAAGTGCCAGGACTGACCAAAAAACAAAACAATAATTGTGGGCTGTCGTTCAAGATCTTTCCTCAGGAACGAACACATTTTCTGGAGATGGAGACAGTAGTTCGCCGCTGCCCCTTCTTATCTCGTGTCTCTCAAGCCTTTCTACAGAAGGCTGGCAAATCACTGCTGTTCTATGCCCAAAACTGCCCCAAGATGATGGAAGTTGGGGTCCAGCCAGTCCAGAGGGCCCTGTCCACTTCAGCAGTACAGGGCCAGCAGATCAAAGAGACTCATCCGACTAAAGACAGTAAGTAGTGTTGGCAGCAGAGGATCAAGGGGAAATTTATTATTTTTTTTGGTGGCAATGCTGGGTTTGAACTCAGAACTCTGTTCTTGCTAGGCAAGTACCACTTAAAGCCATGTTCCTAGCCCTTTTTGATTTTTTTTAGATGGGGTCTTGTGATTTTTTTTTCCCCCCTGCATGGGCCTCTGACTACAATCTTAACTCCTCTCAAATAGCTGGGATTATAGATACATATCACCACACACAACACACACCCAGTTTGCTTTTTTGAGATAAGTTTTTGTTTTTGTTTTTTGCCCTGGCTGGTCTCTAACCAAGATCTTTCTTTCAATTTCTTCTTCCCAAGTATCTGGGATTACAGACATTCACCACCTTGACCGGCTAGACCTTTGCTTTAAAAATACTGTGGGAGTTGTTGTTTTGTTTCTTTGTTCATTTTTTTTTTTTTTTTTTTTTTGGCAGTACTGGAATTTGAACCCAGGGCCTCACGCTTTGTGGACAGAGTGATTTGTTCTGGTTTTCATTGCAGTAAAAAAATACACACAACACAAAATCTTTTCATCTTAACCATTTTTAAGTGTATCATTCCATGGTGAAGTACATTTAAATTGTGAGGCAACTACCACCACTGCCATTGCCATCTCTAGAATGTTCTGTGTCTCCCCAAACTAAGACTCTACACATTTAAACATTAACTTCCATTTTCTTTCTTCAGTTCTTTCCACCACCGGGGTCAGGGAGAGGGGCTTCCTGTAAATTAAATCAGTATCTGGTTGTTTGTTTTGTAAGTCTCAGGGATCAATTTCATACATTAGCTCTTTTGTTTGTTTTTAATAAGCAGATCAGAGGGGAATTGTCAAGGTCTGGTTCTGCCAGGAAAGGAGGTGTTTCCCTTTCCACTTAATCCCAGAGAACATTTCATGTGACAGACTTTGCTTAGGTGTGGGCCTGTAAGAAAGGGGTGTATTTTTCTTTGAAGTAGGAAGGACTTATTCCTGGGTTAGGAGTAAGTTGTCTTCAGAGGCATGCTTGGAATGGTGCTGTGTTAAATCCTACGACTTGATTTGTTTTTTGCCAGTCCTGGGGCTTGCTTAAACTCAGGGCCTGAGCTTCTTTTACTCAAAGCTAGCACTCTACCACTGGAGCCACAGCGCCACTTTTGGCTTTTTCTGTGTATAAGTGGTACTGAGGAATCAGACCCAGAGCTTCATGCATGCTAGGCAAGCACTCTACCACTGAGCCACATTCCCAGCCCAATCTAAGACTCTTGTGTTGCTCTTTCTCTAGTGAATAAGTATCTAGTGAGTATGGAACTTCCATTAGAAAATTAGAAAGAAAAAAAAAAAAGGAAAAACTGCGTTGAATCAACTTGAAGAAAATTCATGAGTCCACATTGTAAGAAAGGCAAACCAGTGACTCACAGGTGGATTCCAAAATGACAAAGACTTTTCTAGAAGAAAGGTGAACAAACCTGCTTATTGGAGAGGAGAGGAGATTCATGGAAACTAGAAACATAATTACCAGGCAACCTTCTTAGTAGAATTGAGGGAGAAAGTAGGGTGGTGTGTGGATATGATTTACCTGTGATTTTGTGGTTTTTTTTTTTTTTTTCTAGTATACCAGTAGTTTGCACCTTATTAGACAGGAATCTAAAGATCTAAGTATTAGTCTGATTTCTTTTGTTTAGAAGAAAACTAGTAGTTTCTATGTTAAGCAACACCGAGCTTTATTACTCCATTTAGAAAGCATGATCAGAGGGAAAAAAAAAAAAGAGTGCTATAAGTACTTTTAATTACTTAGTGACTCAGGAGGCTGAGATATGAGGATTGTAGTTTGAGGCTAGCCTAGCCAGGAAGGAAAGACTATAAGATTATTATCTCCAATTAACCACCAAAAAACAGGAAGTGGAGCTATGGCTCAAGTGGCAAAGAACTAGCCTTGAGCAAAGAAGCTCAGGGACACCACCGAGGCCCTGAGTCCAAGTCCCAGGATTGGCAGACACACATGGGGCTTGAACTCTGGGCCTGGGCGCCATCCCTCAGCTCTTTAGCTCAAAGCTAGCGCTCTACCACTGGAACCACAGCGCCACTTCCGGTTTTCTGAGTGGTTTTATTGGAGAGAAGAGTCTCACAGACTTTCCTGCCCCAGTTGGCTTTGAACCATGATCCTCAGATCTCAGTCTCCTGAGTAGCTAGGATGACAGGTGTGAGCCACCGGTGGCTGGCTAACCTAAATATTTTTATTAGGTTTCCAGAACCTAATAAAAGTAAACAATGGGTCGTGATCATGGGTGGAATAGATGTCAAGTTTATCCATGAAGTCAAGAAGAGAGTAAAAAAGTCAGTGTCCTGTTCACCCAGAACTGATGGCTCACATTTTCCATTTCTCCCTCAGCTGACAAAACCACCAAAGCCAAGGAGCAGCCAGCTCCTGAGGGATGCCAGCTGAGTGTAGACGGCCCACAGCTGCCGTCTGGGCACCCCTTGTCTGCCCCGAACCAGGGCTCTGTGAGCAGGTGCCCGTTCCTGGCAGCCCAGATGAAGCAGCAGGGCAGCAGCGGCGTGTTTCGCAGAGCCAGCCTGGAGCTCCAAGAGGACGTGCAGGAAATGCATGCTGTGAGGAAAGGTAAGCCCAGGAAAGACCCACAATCCCCAGGGCTCCCTAGGTCCCTCAGACTTGTGTGAGGAGCTATTATTAGGGCGGTAGTTATGTAAACGCCTTCCCCTTTGCGGGCCAACGGGCAAGATCCCCAAGGGAGAGACAGCTGGATTGCAAAATGTGGGACTTCCCTTGTTCCCTGGGTAAGATGTCACCTGCTTTTCATGTCACTGCTTAATGGCTGAAAATACCAGCAGCCTTGAGCCGCCCTCTGGCCCTCGAACAGGCCAACAAGAAAGGCAATAATGGGCCGGGAAGGTGGCTTAGTGGTAGAGTGCTTGCCTAGCATGCATGAAGTCCTGGGTTCGATTCCTTAGTACCATATACACAGAAAAAGCTGGAAGTGGCGCTGTGTGTGGCACAAGTGGTAGAGCGCTAGCCTTGAGCTCGGAGAGGCTCAGGGACAGCGCCCAGGCCCTGAGTTCAAGCCCCAGGACTGGCAAAAAGAAAAAAAAAAGGAAAGGGGAATTGGGAGGAAAAAAAGAAAAACATAGCAATAAGTAAACTAAAAGAGGGTACTCAGTTACAACTTGCTTTAGTCATAAATCATTTTTTTTAATGAACTAGGTGATAAGCCTTCCTTCTTTGTATTATTTCACTTGCCTTTTTGTTCATTTTTGTTTTTGGACAAGGAAGGTCTCATTGTGGCATTCCCATACCCGCGTACAAGGTACCCCAGTCAGCCTCCCCCTGGCCCCCTTCCTCTCCCTTCCTTCTGCCCCCTTTTCTAAAACAGTATCAGTAGGTTTCATTGTATTTACGTCCAGGTGAATAGACTACTTTGATCCTATTTATTCTCATTCACCCTTCTTCTGCTGGTACTTCTCTTAATAGAGCCTGATTTACTTTTCTCTGTGTGTGTGTGTGTGTGTGTGTGTGCGTGTGTGCGCACGCACGTGTGTGTATTGTACCAAGGGGTTTTACTATGGTATTTTAGATATGCTTTTTTTTTTAACCAGTCCTGGGGCTTGAACTCAGGGCCTGGGCACTGTCCCTGAGCTTCTTTTGCTCAAGGCTAGCGTTTTACCACTCGAGCCACAGTGCCACTTCTGGCTTTTTCTTGGGTATGTGGTACTGAGGAATCAAACCCAGGGTTTCATGCATGCTAGGCAAGCACTCTACCACTGAGCCACATTCCCAGCCTTTTTTTTTTTTTTTTTAATTGCAAATTGGCCTCAAATTTGAGATCCTCCTACTTCAGCCTCTTGACTGTTGGGATTATAGGTGTGCACCATTATGTCTGGCTCTAACAGGCCATTTGTGTGTGTATGTGGTGTGTAAGTGAGATGTGTGATGTGTGCATGTGTGTGCATAGCTGATCTTGTGGCCTGTCCATGAGCTTTTTTGTTGTCATTGTTGATGGGGCCTGGGCGCTGTCCCTCAGCTCTTCAGTTCAAGGCTAGCACTCTACCACTTGAGCCACAGTGCCACTTCCAGCTTTTTCTGCTTATGTGGTGCTGAGAAATAGAACCCAGGGCCTCATGCATGCAGGGCAAGCATTCTACCACTAAGCCACCTTCCCAGCCCCTTTGTTTCCTTTTTGGTGTCATTCCTTGGGCTAGAACTCAGGATCTGAGTGCTAACTCTGAGCTTCTCTTGCTCAAAGGTAGTGCTCTACCACTTGAACCACACATTCCCTTAGAGATAAGAGCCTCAGGGACTTTACTGATGGGCTGGTTTATAACACAGTGCTCGGATCTCAGGCTCCTGAGTAGCTAGGATTACAGGCCACTAATGTCTAGTGCCATCTTTTTCTTTTAATACAGTCATCTTTATTCCTTTTTTTTTTGGGGGGTCGGTCATGGGGCTTGAACTCTGGGCCTGGGCGCTGTCCCTCAGCTCTCCAGCTCAAGGCGAGTGCTCTACCACTTGAGTCACAGCGCCACTTCTGGTTTTCTGGTGGTTCACTGGAGAGAAGAGTCTTATGGATTTTCTTGCCCTGGCTAGCTTGAACTGTGATCCTCAGATCTCAGCCTCCTGAGTAGCTAGGCTGACAGGCGTGAGCCACCAGTGCCCGGCACTCAGCTTTATTTCAATGCATACATTTATTATTTGATCTCAGAGTTGTGTATACAACATGTATTTTCAGTAGAAAGCGCAAGCGAGCTGTCTGGGATCCCTATGGAGATGTAGCTATGTGTCTATATGATGACCATTTACAAATAGGACTGGCTAGGCCACTGGCTCCTTGAGGCTGCTAATGAGCTATTTTTGACCCCCTGCCTGGAAGGTATTGTGAACTCAGAATAGAACGTCCATCTCATTTGTCTCCTGTTATTGGTTACAGAAGTTGAGCAAGCCTCCGTGAACACCGATGTGGTCTCGGTGAAGAGTGAGGGAGAGGATCCGAGTGGGCTGTTGAAGAACTTTCAAGATCTGATGCGAAAGCAAAGGCCGGAAAGAGTGTCTCACCTCCTCCAGGACAACTTGCCCAAGAGTGAGTCTCCCTGTTCCTTGCCTGAGGCAGGTGATAGGCTGTCACTGAAGCGTTCATCCAATTAAATAGAAGATTCATTGTGAGTTAACTTGAAACCACGCCCCCTGCTTTACCAAGCAGGTGCGCTTAAGTCTCGGTGACTATAGCTGCCCTAGATAGCTGGCCTTTCTCTTTATTTTTTTTGGTCCAAGACTTGAACTTGGTGCCTAATGGTTTTTGCTCATTGCCTGGCGCTCTTCCATCTGAGCCACGCCTCCAACCCTGAGCCTTTCTTTTAATACTGATGGCCTACATACTGGGCCTTGTGCCAAGTACTTGACACGCGTCATATGAGGACATCAAGAAACTAGCCTAAAGCCAGGCTCCAGTGGCTCATGCCTATAATCCTAGCATCTCAGGAGGCTGAGGTGGGAAGAGCCAGTTAGGGCAGAAAATGACTGAAGACTCCAGGCTGGAGGTATGGTTCAAGTGGTAGAGTGCCAGCCATGAGCAAGAAAAATAAACAAGAGCACAAGACCCTGAAAGGAAACAAAACAAAACAAAAAAGAGGGAGAGAGAGCCAGGTGCTGATGGCTCAGACCTGTAATTCTGGCTACTCAGGAGGCTGAGATCTGAGGATCATAGTGCAAAGCCAGCCTGGGCAGAAGAGTCTGTGAGACTCTTATCTCCAGTTAACCACCAGATAACCAGAAGTGACACATTGGCTCAAGTTGGTAGAGCGCTAGCCTTGAGCAAAAGAAGCTCAGAGACAGTGCCCAGGCCCTGAGTTCAAGTCCCAGGACTGGCAAAGAAGAAAAAAAAAAAAGAAAGAAAAGAAAAGAAATTCCCCTAGACTCACCCTGCTAGGAAATGGCAAAGCAAAAAATTAAACTTAGGCTCATCCTTCCCCAGTAACCATCCCTATGGGCTTTTGTTTGGTTTTTTTAGCCATTTCCACTTTTCAGTATGATCGTTTCTTCGAGAAGAAAATCGATGAGAAAAAAAATGACCACACCTATCGGGTTTTTAAGACGGTGAACCGGAGGGCACACATCTTCCCCATGGCAGACGACTACTCGGATTCCCTGATTACCAAAAAGCAGGTGTCGGTGTGGTGCAGTAATGATTATCTAGGCATGAGCCGCCACCCACGGGTGTGTGGGGCAGTTCTGTAAGTAGCGCTCAGCTTTCGCATATAGCTAGCATGGTTTGGCAAGTCATGGATGATTTATATGGGTTGGCTCTTTTATGGGGGTTATATTGAGCAATGAAAGTGTGCAATCGCAGGGCTGGGAAGGTGGCTTAGTGGTAGAGTGCTTGTGATGAAATGCGTCATTTCCCGCCCCTCAGCACACCATGAATGTGCTTGAACAAAATGCAGTCTTGTGCAGATGTCTGTGGTTGTGGCTGTAGGTAGAGACAACTGTAAGCTGTCTCAGGAAAAGCTACTAAATGGGACGTGTTAAAAAGACCATTGCCGGCCACCCCTGGCTCACACCTGTCATCCTAGCTACTCAGGAGGCTGAGAGCTCTGAGGATCATGGTTCAAAGCCAGCCTGCACAGGAAAGTTTGTGAGACTCTTATCTCCAGTGAACCACTAGAAAACTGAAAAGTGGCTCTGTGCTCATCTTGAGCTGAAGAGTTCAGGGACAGTGCACAGGCTTAGAGTTCAAGCCCCACAACCGACAAAAAAATACATTTGAGGACTGGGAAGGTGGCTTAGTGGTAGAGTGCTTGCCTAGCATGCATGAAGCCCTGGGTTCGATTCCTCAGTACCACATACACAGAAAAGGCCAGAAGTAGTGCTGTGGCTCAAGTGGTAGAGCATTAGCCTTGAGCAAAAGAAGCTCAGGGACAGTGCCCAGGCCCTGACTGGCAAAAAATAAATTAATTAAAGTAAGAAGACAATTGAAGTTGGGTACCAGTGGCTCACGCCTATCATTCTAGCTACTAAGGAGGCTGAGATCTGAGGATCGAAGTTCAAAGCCAGCCCAGACAGGAAAGTCTATGAAAAATAAAAAAAGTCTTTTTTTTTTGGTGAGTCATGGGGACTGAACTCAGGGCCTGGGCGCTGTCCCTCAGCTTCTTTTGCTCAAGGCTAGCACTCTACCACTTGAGCCACAGCACCACTTCTGGTCTTTTCTACTTACATGATGCTGAGGAATCAAACCCAGGACCTCATGCATGGGAGGCAAGCACTCTTACCGCTGAGCCACCTTCCCAGCCCCTTCCTAAGCTCTCAATCTTGCTGGTCCCTAGAGATTCCTCTCCCATGGGCGGTGGTTCCTCTACCCAGCCTGATGCTGAGGTCAGCGGCCATTCCTGCCCTCCTGTCTCACAGTGAGCGGGGCTGGACCATGCCCGTTTGCAGTCTTCTCCATCCTACACAGCGGAGCCATTCACCCATTCAGAACCATGAGTTGGAGTTTTTTGTGTGTGTTGTGTTTTTTTTTTTTTTCCCAACAGGGAGACTTTGAAACAACATGGTGCTGGAGCAGGTGGCACTCGGAATATTTCTGGAACAAGTAAGTTCCACGTGGACCTGGAGCAGGAGCTGGCCAACCTCCATGGCAAAGACGCAGCCCTCTTGTTCTCCTCCTGCTTCGTGGCCAATGATTCTACCCTCTTCACCCTGGCCAAGATGATGCCAGGTAAGGAAGCCTGGTTTGAGTGTCTCGGGGGCTTGGGGTTCTTTATGGTGACTAATCATGGTGCCAAACACCACCTCAGAGATGAGAGTAATGATCTTGTCTGGGTGCATATCCCTTTTATTTATTTATTTATTTATGTATTGTGGCAGTCCTGGGGCTTGAACTCAGGGCCTGGGTGCTGTCCCTGAGCTTCTTTGGCTCAAGGCGAGCACTCTACCACTTGAGCCAGATCACCACTTCCAGTTTTCTGGTGGTTTATTGGAGATCAGAGTCTCACGACCTTTCCTGCCCAGGCTGGCTTTGGACCACGATCCTCAGATCTCAGCCTCCTGAGTAGCTAGGATGACAGGCGTGAGCCACCGGCATCCAGCAAGAAAGCTTTTTTTATTAGTGAACCTTTTCATTATGCAAGGCAGTACTGTCAGGAAAAAGGTCTGTTGTCTCTGTCAAAAAAAGTCAGTTGTCTTTGATGCAGATGGCAATAAAATAGCTTTTCCTCACATCAGGCTGCGAGATTTACTCGGATTCCGGGAACCATGCCTCCATGATCCAAGGAATCCGGAACAGCCGGGTGCCAAAGTACATCTTCCGGCACAATGACGTCAGCCATCTCAGAGAACTGCTGCAGAGGTCCGACCCCTCGGTCCCCAAGATCGTTGCGTTCGAGACTGTACACTCAATGGATGGTAAGTCTGCGCCAAGGCTAGCGGAGGACGCTAGCCGAGGGTATGCCTGTAATTCCAGCACTGGGGAGGCTGAAGCCGTTCCAGGTCAGCCAGGGCAGAACAAACAAAAGATAGGGTGTTTGGGGGCTGAAAATGTCACTCAGCATGCACAAAGTGTGTTTTGTTGTTGTTGTTGTTTTTGTTTTTCCTTTTGCTAGTCCTGGGGCTTGAACTCAAAGCCCGCTGTCCCTCAGCTCTTCAGCTCAAGGCTAGTGCTCTACCACTTGAGCCACAGCGCCACTTCCAGTTTTCTGAGTGGTTTATTGGAGATAAGAGTCTCACGGACTTTCCTGCCCAGGCTGGCTTTGAACTGGGATCCTCAGATCTCAGCCTCCTAAGTAGCTAGCATTACAGGTGTGAGCCACCAGCGCCCAGCCTGAGCCTCTTTTACTCAAGGCTAGCACTCCACCGTTTGAGCCATAGTGCCAATTTCGGCTTTTTCCGTGTATGTGGTACTGAGGACTCGAACCCAGGGCTTCATGCATGCAAGGCAAGCGCCCTACCACTGAGCCACCTTCCCAGCCCCTGGGATATGACGTTTGGTCTTCCCTCAGGCGCAGTGTGTCCCTTGGAAGAGCTGTGCGATGTGGCCCATGAGTTTGGAGCGATCACCTTTGTGGATGAGGTCCATGCAGTGGGGCTGTACGGAGCTCGAGGTGGAGGAATCGGCGACCGGGATGGAGTTATGCCAAAAATGGACATCATTTCCGGAACGCTTGGTGAGTATAGTTCGTTCTCTTCACACAGCCAAGGACACGCCGTTCTGATCGCCATCATGTTCAGGGACCATAAGCCCAGGCCTCTTTGTCTTTGGGTGAATTTTTCTTTCTTTTTTTCTTTTTTTGATTGGTCTTGAGGCTTGCACTCAGGGCCTGGATGCTGTCCCTGAGTTTTTCTGCTCAAGGCTAGTTAGTGCTCTTGGAGCACTTTGAGCCGCAGCACCACTTGCGGTTTTCTGGTGGTTCGTTGGAGATAAGAGTCTCCTGGACTTTCCTGCCCAGGCTGGCTTTGAACCACGATCCTCAGATCTCAGCCTCCTGAGTATCCAGGATGACAGGCGTGAGCCACCGGCGCCCGGCTCTCTTGGGGTAGATTTTTATGCCCCAGTGAGTGGTTAGGCCATCCTAAGCAGAACCTCTTGGAATGAAATGACAGTAGTAACTTACTGCTGTCTAGCTGGTTTCAGATGTAGCTGTGGCTCTAACTTGACAGGCTAGGATAAAAGCCTCTTAAACTAAAAAGAAGCAGCCAGTACTCATCTGCCAACACAGTTGCTAAATCCTAATATTCCAGATCCTCCTGCTTTCCTCTGCTCCCATGTCTCATGGTGATCAGAAGCCGTCCTGCGGCCTGAGCGTACCCCTCATGCAGGCCACACCCCCACCCTGAGCCCTTCAACTGGTAGTTAATCTCTGTATACCTCTGTTTCCTCATCCATCCATTGGGAAGAGCCATCAGGTCTACATGTGAATTCTCATTAAGAAGATAATTAAATGAGTCATCTGTACATCATTACTCTAGACATCGCCTTGGCCTGTTACAACTCCTAAAGAAATGTAAAAGGGTGCTGGTGGCTCACACCTGTCATCCTAGCTACTCAGGAGGCTGAGATCTGAGGATCGCAGTTCAAAGCCAGCCTGGGCAGGAAAGTCTGTGAGACTCTGATCCCCAATGAACCACCAGAAGATCGGAAGTGGCGCTGTGGCTCAAGTGGTAGAGTGCTCACCTTGAGCTGAAGAGCTGAGGGACAGCGCCCAGGCCCAGAGTTCAAGCCCCACAACTGACAAAAAAAAAGCTGAGGCTAATATGGCTCTCGTACTTTGTTTGCTCAAAAAGGCTGGGATGCATTTTCCACTTGGGCCCACGTGAATTGGTCACTAGAGACGATCATGTGGGAATCTCTTGAATTTCTTCAGTCATTCCCCTTGAAACCCGAGATACACATTCTATAAGTGAAAAACAACTTTAGCTCAAGACCAACTCTGAACAGGTTCAGTTTTATTCCTTTGTGCCACTCCTGGGGCTTGAACTCAGGGCCTGGCCGCTGTCCCTGAGCTCTTGTGCTCATGGCTAGCGCTCTACCACGCAAGCCACAGCGCCACTTTTGGCTTTTTGGTAGTCCTTTGAGGATGAGAGTCACCTGGACTTTCCTGCCCAGGCTGGCTTTGAACCCGCGGCGCATGCTGGAGGCTGATGTAGCTCCCCACCGCTGTCTCCCCGCAGGCAAAGCGTTCGGCTGCGTGGGGGGGTACATCGCCAGCACCTGCTCTCTGATCGACACGGTGCGCTCGTACGCGGCTGGATTCATCTTCACCACGTCGCTGCCACCCATGTTGCTGGCCGGAGCCCTGGAGTCCGTGCGGGTCCTGAAGAGCGCCGAGGGCCGGACACTACGCCGCCAACACCAGCGCAATGTCAAACTCATGAGGCAGATGCTGATGGACGCCGGCCTGCCGGTCATCCACTGCCCCAGCCACATCATCCCCGTGCGGGTAAGGTCTGCGGGATGGGGGGGAGGGCGGAGGGGGTTGGGGAGGAACAGGGCATCGTGACAGTCCAGCCTTTCCCCAAACACCAACTTTCACCACACAGCTAGGCCCCAGAACACTCCAGAAGCCTGAGCATAGTGTAGCTTAGTTGTTTTGTTTTTGTGCCAGGACTGGGGTTTGAACTCACAGCCTAACAGCTGTCCACTACTTGTATTTTTTTTTTTGTTTCTTTTTTTGTCAGTCGTGGGGCTTGAACTCTGGGCCTGGGCGCTGTCCCTCAGCTCTTCAGCTCCAGGCGAGCGCTCTACCACTTGAGCCACAGTGCTACTTGCGGTTTTGTGAGTGGTTCATTGGAAATAAGAGTCTCACAGACTTTCCTGCCCGGGCTGGCTTTGAACTGTGCAGATCTCTTCCTCTTTAGTAGCTAGGATTACAGGCGGGAGCCACCAGTGCCCGGCTTCAGTAAACTTAACTCAAGGGTAATGCTCTGCCATTTTGAGCCACAGCTCCATTTCTGATTTTTTGGTGGTTCATTGGAGAGAAGAGTCTTGTGGACTTTTCTGCCTGGGCTGCCTTTGAACTGCAATCTTCAGATCTCAGCCTCCTGCACCTGGCAATATTGATGTTGATCTTGCCAGCCCTGGGTCTTGAACTCAGGACCTGGACACTGTCCCTGAACTTCTCTTTGCTCAAGGCGAGTGCTCTACCACTTGAGCCACAGCGCCACTTCCAGTTTTTTCTGTGTCTGTGGTACTGAGGAATCGAACCCAGGTCTTCATGCATGCTAGGCAAACACTCTACCACTAAGCCACCTGCCCAGCCCTTGGTCTTAATCTTTTGTCCTGATCTTTTCTCCTGCTGCCTTTCAATTCAGGTCGCCAACGCAGCTAAAAACACCCAAGTCTGTGATGAGCTCATGAGCAGGCATAACATCTATGTCCAAGCCATCAACTACCCCACGGTACCACGAGGAGATGAGCTTCTGCGCATCGCCCCTACACCCCACCACACACCGCAGATGATGAACTACTTCCTGGGTGAGTTCTGCAGAGTCTAGTAGCAGGGGTCTCTTGGGGACAGGAGGCCCATGGCGCCCTTAGAGGCCATCAGATGAGTTTCTTATTCCCAGTGGTTAAGACCCAGAAGGGCTGGGAAGGTGGCTCAGTGGTAGAGCGCTTGCCTCACATGCATGAGGCCCTGGGTTCGATTCCTCAGCACCACATAAGCAGAAAAAGCTGGAAGTGGCGCTGTGGCTCTAGTGGTAGAGCGCTAGCCTTGAGCTGAAGAGCTGAGGGACAGCGCCCAGGCCCAGAGTTCAAGCCCCACGAATAACAAAAAAAAAAAAAAAAAGAAGACTCTCATAGATCCGTCTATTCAGGTTGGCTTCAAACTTCAATGATCTTCCGATCTCAGCCTCCTGCGTGGCTAGGATTATAAGACTGAGCTACCAGTGTTCGGCTTAGGACGTAACATTACCATGTCCCTGGTGCAGGTCATAGGTGCAGGAAATATTACTCCCTGTAACACTGCAGCCCTGTCTCTCCTCACAGAGAACCTGCTGGCCACGTGGAAACGAGTAGGCCTGGAACTCAAGCCACATTCCTCGGCCGAGTGCAACTTCTGCAGGAGACCATTGCATTTCGAAGTGATGAGTGAACGAGAGAAAGCCTATTTCTCAGGCATGAGCAAGATGGTATCTGCCCAGGCCTGACCCTGACCTCCCCCCCACCCCCTTATCCCACCTGACCCCAGGCCATTATCATATCCACACAGTCCCCACAGTTGTCTTTATATGTGAATTAAATTATATTAAATTTTAATCTATAGTTAATAACATAGTCCTGGAAATAAATTCTTGTTTAAGTGATGGAGGTTTGCTGCTCTTGCCTACTGAATGAGAAAGCAGTGATGGTATTATTATTATTATGGGGGTGTATAAGAATGCCCAGACCCACCGGGGTGCCAGGACCGCCTTCCAGAGCCCAGAGCAGCCTGTGCACCCCTGCAATATGGTCCCCCCTCCCCTGCATCTGGTTTTACTTTAATTCGGTTTTGTAAATTCCTATTATTCCTTTCTGGTGGTACTGGGATTCGAACTCAGGACCTGGCACTTGCCAGGCAGGCGCAGCCCCACTAGAGTTGAAGAAATGAAAGGGGACCCCAGTGACTTCCCCCGTCCAAGCCTACCAGAGAACAAGTGGGCCGAAGACATACCAAGCAGCTGGAGCTGAGGAGTTACATGCATGGGGTGGCTGGGATTTCAGGCATGAGCCACTACACTCGGTTTGTTGGTTGAGATGGTCTGGGTCATTTGCCTTTTGGGGAATGGTATTGAGAAAGACTCAGTCCTCCACCGAGCTTTGTTCCCATCAGATAAAACCCGCTCACGAAGGCAACCAGTGGTGGAATGGAAATCACATCATCTGGGAGCCAGGAAATGGTTCTTCCTGCTCAGCGTTCCCGGCCTCCTTCCAGAACTTTCCATTGTCCCTCACATTCCCATGCCTGGAACGTCCTCCACCTCCAACTGGGATTGGTGAGGGCTTGCTTTGGGTGGGGACAATGTTTGGATGCTGGGAAGGAACCCCCCACTTCTTTTGTGAGGCAGAGTCCGCAGGGTCAAAATGTCCACCCCCCCCATGCGCCTCTCCCTCCCTGCCTCACGGGGTTAGGCGAACACAGGCCACAGCTGCAGGAAGTAGACGGGAGATGCTTAGAAATAAGGAGTTTAGCCAGGCACGGGTGGCTGAGCCCTATAATCCTCACTACTCAGGAGGCTGACTTCTGAGGATCCCGGTTCAAAGCCAGTCTGGGCAGGAAAGTCCGTGAGACTCTGATCTCCATTGAACCACCAGAAAACTGGAAGTGGCGCTGTGGCTCAAGGGGTAGAGCGCTGGCCTCGAGCTGAAGAGCTGAGGGACAGCGCCCAGGCCCTGAGTTCAGGCCCCACAACCCACAACCACAACAACAAAAAAGCTAAAGGACAGCACTCAGGCTCTTGCGTTCAAGCCCAGGGACTGGCATGTTTACACACAGCCTTGAGCAAACAAGTCTACTCCTGTAATCCGGGCTACTCAGGAGAAGTTCAAGGTGAGTGGAGCAAAGTGAACACCTTATCTATCTGAAAAGGCAAAGGTTGCGGGATCCTCATTCACCAGGCAGAGTGCTTACCAAGTATCTGTGAAGTCCTGTGTTCATGCCTGGTACCATTAACAAACAAAAAAGCAAGTCCAATGGCAAACTGCCATGTCACAAGGCCTTTCCAACAATATTCACAAGCCTGAGACACTGGGTGAAGAGTTACTGGGAGAAAAGGTGCGTATGTGGAAATTTCCATGGGCCTTTCATACACTTTAAGCAAATAAAGCTGGGACTGGGCGCTGGTGGCTCACAACTGTCATCCTAGCTACTCAGGGAGCTGAGATCTGAGGATTGTGGCTCAAAGCCAGCCTGGGTAGGAAAGTCTGTGAGACTCTGATCCCCAGTGAACCACCAGAAAATCGGAAGTGGCGCTGTGACTCAAGTGGTAGAGTGCTGGCCTTAAGCAAAAGAAGCTCAGGGACAGTGCCTAGGCCCTGAGTTCAAGCCCCAGGACTGGCAAAATAACATAAAGCTGGGCACTGGGGGCTCTCATCTGCCATTCTAGCTATTCTGCTCAAGAGGAGGCTGAAGATCGGAGAATCATGGTTCAAAGCCAGCTTGTGCAAGACAATCAGAGACAAACAGCAGAGCTAGAATACAGCTGCTGGTGCTCTGCCCTGAGTCCTTCCTCTTTCTTGTCCTGGCACAGCCAATGGCATGTTAATTAGAATGAGTGGTAGCGTGGAGGCCAGGCCCAAAGCCAACTGTCAGCTCCCTTCCTAACCACTGTGCCCCATGTGTACAGCACCCCATCCTGCCCCACTGTGGCCCAGATCCCAACACCTATAGGACCAGATTCTACCATCAGCCCCGTACCAAGTGCTACCAGTGGCCAGGACAGGGGAGGATGGATGGATGCATGCATGGATGCATGGATAGATGGGTAGATGCATGGATGGATGGATGGGTGGATAGATGCAGGCATGGATAGCTAGATGGATGGATGGATAGATAGATGTATGGATAGATGCATGGATAGATGGATGAATGCATTAATGGATGCATGTGTGCACGGATAGATGGATGGATAGATAGATGTATGGATGGATGGATGGATGAATAGCTAGATGGAGGCATGTGTGTACAAATGGATGGATGGATAGATGCATGTGTGGATGACTAGATGCATGGATCCATACATGGATGGACAGGTGCAAGTATAGATGCATGCATGGATGGGTAGATGCATGCATGGATGGGTGAGTAGATGCATGTGTGGATGCATGGATAAATACATGCATGGGCAGATGGTACATGGATGCATGGATAAATGTGTGCATGCACGGATAGATGCATGGGTAGGTGAATGAATGCATGGATAGATGCATACCTGCATGAACGGTAGATGCATGTATAGATGGATGATGCATGTATACATGCATGGACAGATGGATGCATGAATAGATAGATGGATAAATACATGGATGAATGGATAGATAAATGCATTAATGGACAGATGCATACGTGCATGTATAGTAAAAGTGGATTGACAATGGATTGCTCCGGGGTAGACTCGCGGTCCTGAGGGAGTGGCCAACTGTGTCTCCTACAAAGACAAATCTAGGGTACTGGCCAGGGCCTCCACTTCCTGCTTCTGCCCGTGGCCTGGACAATCTCAGAGAGAGTTCATCCCTCTTCCCCTTCCTCCCAGGCCTCCAGCCTAGGGGAAAGGTCTTTTCGTGTTTGGTTTGACTCCCAGGTGAGCCAAAGAAGTACAACAGGTCAGAGTCCACGCGGGACTTCCTGTGATGCTTAGGTGGGCGCATATCCTGCTGTCTTTCATCTGAGAAAGAAAACATACACTCTATGTTCTTTTATGATCCCCACCTCCCCCAGCTCCGCCCCGGGCTGCCTAAAACAGAAAGGGGAAGATGGCTAATATTTCCCAACTGTTTCCTCAGAAGAGGGAGGAAGAAAAAATCACACACACACACACACACACACACACACACACACACACACACACACGAGGGAATAACAGTATCCAAGCTACAATGTTGTGGTCAATTCCAGCCCTGGAGGCCATAAATGGCCCCAGGCTCCAACCTTCCCTGGTCCAGACAAACTGGTTTGACTCTCCTGCCCAGCTAGGCGGATGACCGGTTTGCCCTCTGCTGCTCAAAGGGCAGGTTTGGTGGTGGTGGTGCCAAGATGGCTATCCCAGAACAAGGTGTCTTCACGATCCAGGTGTGACATGGCCAACAAGTTGCCATAATGTCAGGACTTCTTCTTCTTTTTTTTTTTAATCAGTTGTGGGGCTTGAACTCTGGGCCTGGGCGCTGTCCCTCAGCTCTTCAGCTCAAGGCCAGCGCTCTACCCCTTGAGCCACAGCGCCACTTCTGGTTTTCTGAGTGGTTGATTGGAGATCAGAGTCTCACGGACTTTCCTGCCCAGGTTGGCTTTGAACCAGGATCGTCAGATCTCAGCCTCCTGGGTAGCTAGGATGCCAGGCGTGAGCCACCAGCGTCCAGTCCATCTTTGTTTCCCTTTTTTGATATTGTGGAGTCAACATTGTCCTGAACCAAGCCCTCTTGGGATTTTCATGGCTACAAATGAACTAGAATGGCAGCTTCTCTGCCACCAGACTTCCAGACCCAACCCTGGAATGCTTGTCTGGTTCTTCCCGAGAGGCTAAGGGAGGGAAAACTCAGGTAAGACAAGAGCCCCCTCCCTCTGCTTCCCCCCCCCCCCCACTCTCTTCAAGACCAGGTTCTATCTCTGACTCACACCTAGAATCCTAACTACCCAGGAAGCTGAAATATGGAGGATCACAGTTCTGAGGCCAGCCCTGATTAGAAAAGTTCTTGAGCCTGGTGCTAGTGGCTCACACCTGTCATCCTAGCTACTCAGGAGGCTGAGATCTGAGGATCATAGTTCAAAGCCAGCTCGGGCAAGGAAAGTCGGTGAGACTCTCTACCGCGGAGCTACCTTCCCAGCCCAAGTCGGTGAGACTCTTATCTCCAATGAACCACTCAGAAAACCAGAAGTGGCGCTGTGGCTCAAGTGGTAGAGTGCTCACCTCAAGCTGAAGAGTTCAGGCCCAGCACCCAGGCCCCATGACTAACAAAAAAGAAAAAGAAAAGAAAGAACAAAAAGAAAAGTCCTTGAGACTCTTTCCCAAATGACTAGCACAAAGCTAGGCCAGAGGCATGGCTTAATTGGTAGAGCATCAGCCTAGCAAGAAAGTCAGATACATGTTCAAATCTGGGTACTGAAGCCAGGCAAGGGTGATTCACGCCTGTTCATCCTAGCTACTTAGCAGGCTGAGATCTGAGAACCATGTTTCGAAGACAGGCTAGGCAGGAAAGTTCATGAGACTTTTTTTTTGGAGGTGGGGTCAGTCCTGGGGCTTGAACTCAGGGGCTGGACACTGTCCCTGAGCTGCTTTGGCTCAAGGCTAGTGCTCTATCACTTGAGCCACAGCACCACTTGAGGCTTTTTCTGTGTTTGTGGTACTGAGGAATCGAACCTAGGGCTTTATGCATGATAGGCAAGTATTCTACCACTTAGCCACATTCCCAGCCCCCCCTTGTTTTATTATATTTTTTTTCTGCCTGTTCTTTTTTTGGGTGTTGAGGATCAAACTCAGGACATTGAACTTGCTAGGTAAGCACATCTCAGCCATTCATGAGACTCTCTTCCCCAATGAACCACTAGAAAACCAGAAGTGCCACTGGGTCTCAAGTGGTAGAGGGCTAACATTGAGCAAAAGAAGCTCAGGGACAGCACCCAGGCCCTGAGATCAAGACCCACAGCCTAGCCAGGTGCCAGTGGCTCACCCCTGTCATCCTAGCTACTCAGGAAGGCTGAGATCTGAGGATCACGGTTCAAAACCAGCCCAGGCAGGAAAAGTCGGTGAGACTCTGATCTCCACTGAACCACCAGAAAACCGGAAGTGGCGCTGTGGCTCAAGTGGTAGAGCACCCGCCTTGAGCTGAAGAGCTGAGGGACAGCGCCCAGGCCCAAAGTTCAAGCTCTACTACCCCCCCACTCTGAAAAAATTCTCCCTTCTCTCCTCCCACCCAGCCCTCCAGGAAACTCAGGGCTAGCAGTCTGGGAGCATTTATTAAGCACCTGCAGTATACTCAGCATGAGCAGGGGTGGGAAGGGAAAGCAGTAGTTGGCCAAGATAAGTTGGAGATTACAGGTGTCTCAGCATGGAAGTGTGACTGTCCCTTGATCATCACCTGCCTTGAACTATTCCGCCGTGGGTCCCTGGCAGAAATTCCTGTTATAGAAATGGTGGTTGTCCCTGGTCAGCGCTGTGGCCAGTTGGGCCCAGAAGCTGCCCTGGCCACTGGGCTGGTGGGGCCAGAAGAGGACGCTCTTACGACACAGATGCTGACGCAACCGCACGTAACGGGAGCGGTGGACATCGGGACGCAGGATGACCAAGACCACGACGTCCTTGCGGTCCTCCAGCAGGCGCTGCTGGACCAACAGGAAGCCGGTACGCAGGAGGCCACTGACCCGATCGGTGTGGGCCAACACAAAGAGGGTCTTGCGGCTGCCATAGATGGAGGCCCAGAGGTTCTCAAAGAGAGTTTTGCCGGGGAGCCAGTCCCGTTCTTCCAGGCACAAGCGTAGGGCCCGCCGTCCACGCCGCTCCTCTAGCTGGACCCGTAGTTCATTGTACACCCAGTCGGCCACGGCGGGCTGGGCCTTGTCAAACACCACGAATGCATCGTAGGGCAAGGCGTGAGCGCCAGATCGCCTCTTCCAGGGAAACCAGGCCTGGCAGAGGTAAAAACAATACCAGAGATCCCATCCGTACACATGCTGGAGGATGGGGACTGTGATGCCCAGAGTCACAGCCAGCAGGGAGAGGCCAAAACAATTCCAAGAGACGGTCTCATCCAGGCAGAGACGCAGGTCCTGCGCGAAGATGCTAAGACCTTGTAGTTGGTTGGGGCTGCCACATTTTACCTGACTGGGCAGACCTGGGACAGCGTGTTGGATCTCCAGTAAGAACTCCACAAAGCAGGCCCCGCACGCACAGTGCAAAGGGTTGGTGCGTACATCAAGGGTTTGGAGGTTTTTCGCCAAAGATCCGAACCAGGAAGCCTCCACCGTCTTGAGGTAATTGTGACTGAGATTGAGCTTCTGAAGTTGTACAGCCAGGACGAAGAAGCCGGGGGCCACAGACGTGATTAAGTTGTTGCTGAGGTCTAATACCTGCAGGCGGCTGCTATTCAGGTGCGTGTCATTTGACAAAGCCTTCAGCTTGTTCCCTGCTAGATCTAGAACTTCCAGATTGGGCAAACAATCCAGGCCGGTCCAGTTGAAAAACGCCAAGAAATTATCCCGAAGACGTAGCACCTTAAGGCTTTTGGGGAGATGGTCCAAGGTACGGGGCAGGAGGGTGTGTAGCTGGTTCTTAGACAGATCTAGCTGTTGTAGGACTTTGAGGCCTTGGAAGAATCGGAGGTACAGATCTCCTTCGGCCCACATACGGCTCACGACATTGCCACGGAAATCCAGGGTGTGGAGCGAGGTGCTGCGGAGCTGCGGTGATACACGGCTGTTAATGTCGTTGTATGCCAGGCTGAGGATGCGAAGATGGGGTAGGAAGGCCACGAAGCTAAGATTATGGCCTATGCCTTGCATACCAAAAGCCTGGTTGTTAAAGCTGAGGTCCAGGGCCTCCAATCGGGGTAACTCCTTGAACGATTGGCTATAATACAAATCCAGCTTGTTATGGCTCAGATCGAGAACTCTTAGATTGACCAGAGGGGTGAACTGGGAGCCGTTGACCGTCTGGGCTATGGAATTGTGACTCAGGCTCAGGCACTGGAGATATGAGAGGTGGGTAAACATTTCGGCTTGGATTGTCACCAGATAGTTCCGAGAGAGATCCAAGGTGAATCTCGACTTCTGGCAGCTGGATATAAAGGTTTTAGGTTTGGGGGTGTCCAGCGGGGTTGGAAGGAAGTTCTCAGACCCCAGCTGGAATGGCTCTCCAGCCTCGATCTCTCCAGTGGTGCCTACCATCTTGTTCGTGCTACTAATCCGGTTGTCTGACAGGTCCACCAAGCGCAGGTGTCGGAAGGGCTGGAAAACGCTGAGCTGGGCATGTTTGATGAAATTCATCTGTAGACTCAGAGTGTGGAGGTCAGGGAGCTGGGCCAGAGGCTTTAGGGTGTGTTCGTTGAGCGATCGGAAGAAGATGCCATTCATGTGCAGTTCCCGCAGCGATGTTAGGCTCCCAAAGGAAGGAGCCAGCCATAATTGAGCAAAGGATACCCTCTTGCGGTAATTAAAGGATAGGTTGAGTTTCCGCAGTTTCGTTAGGCCTCGGAAGGCCGTCGTCTTATTGATGGATTCATAGAGAAAATTCTCACTCAGATCCAACACGGAGAGGTGAGGGAGCCCTTGGAACCATTGGGGGTTCAACTTGTGGAGAGAGCTGTCCTTCAACACCAGGCCTTCGAGGTGACTCAGGTGGCTAAAGGTGTCATTGTGCAACCAGAGAGATCCATGGGGACATTCAATGCAAGGATTCCGGGCGTGATCACAACGGCGACAATTGCCCCCCACATCCAGGACGCGCAAGGCAGTCAGACCGGCCAGATCTTGGGGTCCCAGCTGGACAATGCGGTTGTAAGACAACAGGAGAGATTGCAGGCTGGGGGGCAGGAGTCGGGGTACCTGGGTGAGGTTGTTGTATTTGAGTGACAGCTGAGTGAGATTGCTCATGCGCAAGAAGACTCCAGGAGCCACATCGAGTGACCCACTACAAGGGTTCTTATAATAGCAGTTACCATCCATGAAGAGGGCGCGCAGGGCTGGTAGGTCAGGCAGGCTGGATGAATCCAGCACCAAGATGTTGGTATGACTCAGGGTCAGGTTCACCAGGGATTTGGGCAAAGCGGGTATGGTGGTGATGCCATTGTAGCTCAGGTTGAGATCCTCCAGGGTGGGCACTGCCAGGAAGGTGTGGGGTTCGATGGTCATATGACAGGAAAAGCGCATGGGGCTCAGGCCCCGGGGGGGACAATTCCATTTGAGGTTCAGCCGGCGCAGGCTGGGAAAGTGGAGGAAATCGGAGTCGTGCAGGTGGTGGATTCGATTGGAGAGCAGGGACAGGCTGGTGACATTGCCGCGGGGGGCTGTGGCAGGGAAGTGGGGGACAGACCTCAAGACAAGCCAGTTGCAGTTCACCAGGCCTTCCTGGGGCTGGAATTCACAGGGGATGAAGGCGGGCAGGGACCCCAAAGCCAGGGCCTGTGCCAGCACTGCAGCCTGTACTAGGAGAGACAAAGGGAACTGGACCCCATAGCAGGAATCCTGCCAGGGCCAGGGACTGTGTGAGTACCCAGCCTAGCTCCACCTGGACCTGCACCATCTCATGGGGGAGAGGGGGGTGTCTTTAAATAAACCTTGTCCCTCCTCCCCACTGAGCCTCCTGGCTCCCTTTCCCATGCTTTAAGACCTTCTAGGGGCTGGGAAGGTGGCTCAGTGGTAGAGAGTTTGCTTAGCATGCATGAGGCCCTGGGTTCGATTCCTCAGTACCACAGACACAGAAAAAGCCGGAAGTGGCGCTGTGGCTCACGTGGTAGAGCTCTAGCCTTGAGCCAAAGAAGCTCAGGGACAGTGCCCAGGCCCTGAGTTCAAGCCCCAGGATTGGCAAAAACAAATAAAACGAAGGTACAACATCTTGGTCCTGAGTTCAAACCCTGGCTCTGGCACTAAAAGAAAAAAATCCCAAGAACTAGGCCTTGGCTTCTCCCAGACTTTGTCTCTCTCCTCACGGCGGCTTCTCTTTCCTCCTGAGGAAAGCAGCCGGGTCCCCCCCCCCTTTCCTTTCTCTAGGGCCCCCCTGAAATCCTCTCTCTACTGCCATCCTCCGCCCCTGCCCCCAGCCTCTCATCCCTCCGCGTTCCTTCCCCCTGACCAAGAAACAAGCAGGTGTTTCTTGCTAGAAGAACTCTACTGGCCTTTTCCCTTCCTGTCCCCAGCCCAGAGCAGGCCCCAATCTACTGTGGGTCAGAAGAGAACGGAGGTTTCAGCAGGCAGCAAAAGGCAGAGTCTCTCCCCCACACACCCCCAACTAGCCCTGGGCAGCCACATCTGGCCAGGGAACCCCGGATCCCATCACAAACGAACATCCCAGGCCTCTGACTGCGCAGAGCCTCAGCGATCAGAGAGGCAAGCGACAGTCCCTAATGTTTCTTGTCCGCTGCCAGGTCAACTCTCTAACTCCATCTCCTACTCCCCCCCTCCAATCCCCTCCCCACCGATCTTCCCCGGGGGAGGGGGAGGGGGGCTGTCCCACCTACCATGGCAGTAGTGGAGAGAGAGGTAATAATGGTGGTTCCGGCTGGCAGGCTGGCCAAGCAGTGACAGAAAAGTTGGTTCCTCCACTAGGGTCCCTCAGATGAAGGAAGTGAGACTCTCTCTTATAAACTGAGACGCTAGCTTTCTCTACCACAACGCCGCCCACCCCCCCCCCCCCATACACACATAGGCTGGCAGACAGAGCAGGTGTCCTAAGATGGTGAATCACAGGGCCATTTGCATAGCTAGTTGGCTCAGGGACACTCTCGGTACCCCTTCCTCTTTCTACACGCACCCCCCCACCTCCCGCCTCCCCTCAGATAGCCCGTGCCCCAAGAAGGCTTCACACATCTGTTGGGGGCAAGGGGAGAAGTCTGGAGAGGAACAAGGGTTTAGGTTTCACTGAAAATCAGGTTTCAGGGGGACCTGGGTGCTAAAACCACATACTAGGGGCCTCCCCTGTCCCCAAAGGGACTCTGTGGCCTTCTGGTCTGTTCATATTGTCAGGACATCTGCCCTTTCCATCCTCTGACTCTGTGTGGCTTCTTCTTTTCTTTGGCGGAGGTGGGGCTTGAACTCAGGGCCTGGGCGCTGTCCCTGAGCTGCTTTTGCTCAAAGCTAGCACTCTACCACTTGAGCCACAGCGCCCTTTCTGGTCTTTTCTGTGTATGTGGTACAGGGGAATCAAACCCAGGGCTTCCTGCATGCTAGGCAACACTAGGCCTCATCCCCAGCCCTATTTTCAGATTTTTCTAAGTAGTTTTAATTGAAGATAAGAGTCTGATGAACTTTTCTGCCCAGGCTGGCTTTGAACTGGGATCCTCAGATCTCAGCCTCCTGAATAGCTAGAATGACAGTTGTGAGCTACCAGTACCTGGCATACTTGTCAGTCTTTCCTTCCTTCCTTCCTTTCTTTTTCTTTCTTTCTTCCTTCCTTCCTTTTTTTTTTTTTTTTGCCAGTCCTGGGGCTTGAACTCAGGACCTAAGCACTGTCCCTGGGCTTCTTTGGCTCAAGGCTAGCGCTCTACCACTTGAGCCACAGCGCCACTCCAGGCTTTTTCTGTGTATGTGGTACTGAGAAATTGAACCCAGGGCTTCATGCATACTGGGCAAGTACTCTACCACTAAGCCACCTTCCCAACCCACTTTTTTCCTTTTTGTCAGTCATGGGGCTTAAACTCTGGGCCTTGGCGCTGTCCCTCAGCTCTTCAGCTCAAGGCGAGCGCTCTACCACTTAAGCCACAGCTCCACTTCTGGTTTTCTGGGTGGTTTATTGGAGATCAGAGTCTCACAGCCTTTCCTGCCCGGGCTGGCTTTGAACTGCGATCCTCAGATCTCAGCCTCCTGAGTAGCTAGGATGACAGGCATGAGCCACCAGTACCTGGCTTTTTTTTTTTTAAGTTTCTAAATGTATGTTTTTTGTTGTTGTTTTAAACCGTAATCACAGAAAACTAAGACATGAGCGGGAAGTGCACAGGTGCTCCAGGATAGATTTCCCACTAACCTCAGGACCTGGGCAGGTCTGCATTCAGGCTGTGTTTCAGGGGTGGGGGGGGGTGCGTGGGGGGAATGTCACACAGGCCCCCCCGTCCCCCCCAATTCTCAGGGCCAGAGGTGCAGTCCCATCACTCAGAGCCAGGCTGAGATGTTGATTTAAAAATACTTTATTCTTTAGAAAATACAGCATTCAATCCATCCTCCTGTCCTGCAAGGACCTTGCCCAGCCCTTAACTGACCCCACCCCACCGCTGCCAAATTGGGCTTTCTAACCTGGACCAGGATCCCAGACTCCATTCTCCGTCCCTTCTCCCCCTTGGATGTCAGTCTCCCCCCTTTCTGTACCTCACCCCTACCAGGCTCCTTAGTCAGCCAGCAGGGCTCCTACACAGACGCGCTGGGCGCACAGATGACAAGCAGGGGACAGCGCAGACAGAGAAAGGGTACAAGATGCCAGCCCAGTGGCCCCCAGCCCTCCTGGCCCCACCCCCAAAGGTGGGACTTCCTGAAAGCCAGGCTGGGAAGAGGGAGATGGGGGATGGAGGGGGATCGGGGGATGGGGCCAGACAACTCCATAGTCCACAGCCAGGCCTGGAGGCCTAGCTGTCTTCTCCGTTCTCTCCCGGGCCTCGGATGAGGCGCTTGTGGCCCCGCTTGCCTCCTGGGCCCCTGGGCTTGGCGAAGGCCTGTTTGAAGGCGTGGAGCTTGGGGTGTACTTCATCATACAGGAACTCGGCCGTCAGCTCCGCCCCGTCGCCGATCTCAATCTACAGGAGGGAGAGATGGGTATCACCTCCACACCGACCGCTCCCTGAGGCATCCCTTCTGACCTCTCCCACCACGGCTTTAGGGGACCTTTTCTGTTTTCCTGCAGGTGGGCCTGGACCTTGGGTCCAAACCGCCCCCCCACCCCACCCTGATTGTAGGGGCACCAACTTCTTTCTTTGGGGGGGTCAGTTGTAGGGCTTGAATTCTGGGCCTGGGCGCTGTCCCTGAGCTCTTCAGCTCAAGGTGAGTGCTCTACCACTTGAGCCACAGCACTACTTCTGGTTTTCTGCTGGTTCACTGGAGATAATGAGTCTCATGGGACTGGGAAGGTGGCTCAGTGGTAGAGTGCTTGCCTTGTATGCATAAGGCTATGGGTTCGATTCCTCAGCACCACATAAGCAGAATAAAATACAAGTCGTGCCGTGGCTCAAGTGGTAGAGCGCTCGTCTTGAGCTGAAGAGCTGAGGGACAGCACTCAGGCCCAGAGTTCAAGCCCCACGACTAACAACAACAACAACAACAACAACAAAAGTCTCACGGATGTTCCTGCCCGGGCTGGCTTCGAACCATGATCTTCAGATCTCAGCTTCCTGAGTAGCTAGGATGACAGGAATGAGTCATCGGTGCCCAGCAAGTAGCACCGAATTCTATACCACATTTTTTGGGGGGTACTGGGGCTTATACTCAGGGCCTAGGCACTGTTCCTGGGTTCTTTTGCTCAAAGCCTGTGCTCTACCACTTGATCCACAACTCCATTTCCAGCCTTTTCTGGTGGTTCATTGGAGATAAGAGTCTCACGGAGTTTACTGCCCGGGCTGGCTTTGAACCGCGATCCTCAGATCTCAGCCTCCTGAGTAGCTAGGATTACAGGCGTGAGCCACCGGCGCCCGGCTGACTATCTACGTTTGATTCAGGACTCTCGCAGCCCGCACTGCAGTGCGATCAAGAGCCCAGGGGATGGCCGTGTACCTTCTTGGAGATCTCCAGCTGGAAGTCCTGCTCTACGGAGTCTAGGAGGCGGCTCTTGCAGCTCGAATAGAGCATGCGCTCTTTGATACTGCACTTATACCCGGGCATGGAGTAGATGAACACTGGAGAAGGGGGTGGGGGAGGGGAGGTGAGCGAGCATCTGCTCCCCCTTCCCCCCCCTCTGCCCCCCGCCGTGGGCCGGAGCCGCAGCAGCAGTCTGCCCACAACTCACCCACAGACTCGAGAAAGTCCCCCTCGTGGGTATGCTTGTAGAGGAAGAAGTGGTAGCGAGCTGTGTCTCGGGGCACCCGGGACGGCAGCTGGGTCACATCTGTGGGCTGGGTGTGCACCAACTCGATGGTTTCCTGCTCCAGGTCCAGCTTCTGTGGAGGGTGGGAGAAGGGGAGACGTTGGCCGGGTGCTGGTGCTACCCCCTGGAAGTCCGGATATAATAGGACTGGCTGGCAAGAGCAGCCTAGTGGGCATCTCCTTCCTCCAGCACCTCCCTCCTCAAGGCTGTCCTTCTGTGGGGGGCAAGGGGCGTCTCTCTGAAGAGATCCCCCATTCTGCCCCTTTATGGCTGCTAGAGAAGGAAATGGGCAATGGTGGCTCCCGTCTATAATCCTAGCTACTCAGGAGGCTGAGATCTGAGGATCATGGTTGGAAGCCAGCCCAGGCAGGAAAGTCGGTGAGACTCTCATCTCCAATGAACTACTAGAACACTGGACATGGAGCTGTAGCTCAAGTGGTAGGGCGTTGGTCTTGAACTGAAGAGCTGAGGGTCTGTGCCCAGGCCTACAGTTCAAGTCCCATGACTGACAAATAATAATAATAATAAATAATGTCTATGGCTGGGAATATAGCTTTAGTGGTAAAGTGCTTGCCTAGCATGCATGAAACCCTGGGTCCAATTCCTCAGTGCCACACACACACAAAAAAGCCGGAAGTGCCAGGTGCTGGTGGCTCACACCTGTTTTTTTGTTTTTTTTGTCAGTCATGGGGCTTGAACTCTGGGCCTGGGCGCTGTCCCTCAGCTCTTCAGCTCAAGGCGAGCACTCTACCACTTGAGCTACAGCGCCACTTCTGGTTTTCTGGTGGTTTATTGGAGATAGGAGTCTCACGGTCTCTCCTGCCTGGGCTGGCTTTGAACTAAGATCCTCAGATCTCAGCCTCCTGAGTAGCTAGGATGACAGCCATGAGCCACCAGCGCCCGGCTGCTCACACCTGTTAATCCTAACTACTCAGGAGGCTGAGATCCGAGGATCTTAGTTCAAAGCCAGCCCGGGCAGGAACATCTGTGAGACTCTGATTTCCATTAACCACCAGAAAACCAGAAGTGGTGCTGTGGCTCAAGTGGTAGAGCGCTCGCCTTGAGCTGAAGAGCTGAGGGACCAGCGCCCAGGCCCAGAGTTCAAGCCCCACGACTGATCCAAAAAAGGAGAGGAGAAACTCTCAGCCCTGGGTAGTGGAGAGAGGGCTTTGACCTCAGGAAGCCTGGATCAAAGTGGGCACCAGGGAGGCTACAGACAGGAGGATGGGAGAAGGAGGCCAGGAGGGCAGGAAGGTATCTTGGGGCTGAACTGCTGGCTGAGGATGTGTGCAGAGGGGAAATGGAGGAAGGAGAGAGTGGTCCCCATACACATGGGGCTGGCCCCGAATGCCAGGAGGAGGAAGAAGAGGAGGAGGAGGAGGAGAAGGGAATGTTCCCACAGCACACAGAGAGCCGAGGCTGGTGGAGACAGAGATGACCCGGAAGGGGCGGGGCCTGGGCGGGGGGCATGGATGCCCACCAGCTGGATATAGTTGACCGTCTTCTGCTTGAGTTGCTGTAGTGCCCGCTGGGCCTCGGGCTGCAGGGGGAAGGCAAGGCCCTGAAGGGTCTGACGCTTACTTTCCACGCTGATCTCTGTCTTCACCTGGGGGGGGAGTCATGATGAGGGAGTCATGTGATTTCCCCCCACCTTCCCTGCCCTCCCCCCCCCCAAAACCACACCACCACCCGGCACACCCACCTCATTGATGCGAATCTGCTGCAGTTCCCGCTCGGCTGACGTGAGCGGAGCTGGTGCTGCACAGGATGACAGATGCTTCTGGTACCCAGCAAAGGAGAGGTCATCCTGCAGGGATTGGGGTGTGGGGGGGGGCAGGGAACCCCAGATGTATAAATAGACATCTGGGCCTGCAGTTCCTGAATTTCTACAATGTCCCCGGCTTTCCCCCAGAGCCTGGCCCAGCTTTGGCCAGGCTTGCCCTGTTCACCATCCCAGCTTCCACCCTGCCATCCGGGACCCTGACCTTCACCGTTCCAAACAGTTCATCTTTGATGTGACCACCCCCAAACTCCTTCTTCACTGTGGCCCGCGTGGCTGCATACAGCATCTTCAGCCGTACCTGAGGAGGGGGAGGGCAAAAAGGAGGGGTGCAAACTGTGAGACCCACTCACCATCCTCCACAGTCCACCCTCCCCGGAGGACAGACCCTTCCCAGAGCCAGCAGCCCTGGGAAGAGAACCTGGCCATTGCATTGTGGCCGCACGGCCAGCAGGGGGCGCGGCGTGGAGCTGAGGCTGCTGCAGGGTAGATCGGGCCCGCACGGGGGAGCTCTTACCCAACCCAACCTCAGCTTCTCAGAGCCAGACTGATGCCCTGCACTGGGATTGAAGGGAGACCAGGCTCCAGAGTCCTCTATCAGACTTGCTAATCAATCAATCAATTAATTTACTTCTCTATTTTTGTCAGTTGTGTGGCTTGAACTCTGGGCCTGGGCGTTATCCCTGAGTTCTTCAGCTCAACGCGAGCGCCCTACCACTTGAGCCACAGTGCCACTTCTGGTTTTCCTTGGAGATAAGCGTCTCACAGAACTTTCCTGCCTGGGCTGGCTTTGAACTGTGATCCTCAGAGCTCAGCCTCCTGAGTAGCTTGGTTAACAGGTGTGAGCCTGTTGGGGCCTGGCACAGGGCAAAGTCTTTTTTTTTTTTTTTGGCCAGTCCTGGGGCTTGAACTCAGAGCCTGGGCACTGTCCTTGAGCTTCTTTGGCTCAAGGGTAGCAACTCTACCACTTGAGCCACAGCGCCACTTCTGGCTTTTTTTTTTTCTTTCTTTTTCTGTGTTTGCAGTCCTGAGGAATCGAACCCAGGGCTTCATGCATGCTAGGCAAGCGCTCTACCACTGAGACACCTTCCCAAGCCCGCACAGTCTTTTTTTTAAACCACTTGGGTCTAGCTGAACTTCCCTCCCTTCCCAGTAGCTTTGCAGAGGTTCCTAAAGACTTACAGGAGAATTGTCAGGCGACCAGGCGAGAAAGAGCCACTCGAAGCCCTGTGCATTCTGGGAGTCCAGACGGAAGAGCAGGTAGCAGGGATGCTGGGCATCTAGCAGTGGCAGCACACTTCTGTCGTAGTCCTGGTCCCAGCCACCCACCGGCTCCTGAGAGGCCCCCAGCACAAGCTGCTCTGGGAGACAGAGGCCGGGTGAGCTGGAGTGACCATCTCCCATCTCCCCCCACCCATTTTTTGTTTTAGTCCATCATGAGGCTTGAACTCTGGGCCTGGGCGCTGTCCCTCAGCTCTTCAGCTCAAGGCGAGCGCTCTACCACTTGAGCCACAGCGCCACTGCCGGCTTTTTCTGCTTCTGGGGTGTTGAGGAATCGAACCCAGGGCCTCCTGCCTGCGAGGCCAGCGCTCTACCACGGAGCCACCTTCCCAGCCCCTGTTACTCACATTTTTACCCAGGATGTTTACCTAAGTAGAACTCACAGCTTCCCTGGGGGGGGGGAAATAAAATCAGGCTCTCTGGTCTTAACTCTGTTAGGTGTAGGGCACTTCAACAATGGTGCTGCAGAATGAACCCACCTGCAGATTCCTACCTGCTTACATCCTTCTGGTCTGGGATTGCTCAGGGAGGGCTGAGAACTAAGGCCAAAGAACAGGAGGTCTTCAAGCATTCAACTATGGACCTAAAACCCACGGTAAACTCTTGGCTGAGCAGCCCCGGGTAGAGTGCACTGACTACCGGAGTCATTCACCACAGCATGGCTACTGGAAGGTTGGAAGGGAAGCACTCCGAGGCGGAGGGTACGGGATGGGGGGGTGGTCTCAGTCCACACCCAGTCTCCCAGGATCTATGCACCCCCCCACACACACTGGAAGATATAGGCCCTTGGCATGGAAAGCAAGAGGGAAAGAGAGTCCTTCTTACTCAATCCCCCACGCCAGCCTGGCTTGAACCCTGATCCTCAAACCCTCCCCAATCTAAATCTCAGCTCAAGTCCCACCAGCCTACTGTATGACTCACAGGTCCTCAGGATCAAGGCCAAGACCCTGCCAAGCCTGGAATTCCTCCCCCTTCTCTACTATTCTGTTGTCAGAACCAGCTGACCATTGTCCCTTCTCCCCACATGACAGGGCATTTTCCCAAAGGAAGGATCATCTTATCTCCTTATGCCAGACTAAGTCCGCCACCCACAAACACGTGCAGCTCTCGGGCCTGTCCAACCCAGAACCCTGACAAAGCCCATCTCTAGGTTTAGGGGGAGGGTAGAGAGAATCTCAAGACAGCTGGGCGAAGGTGGCTCACGCCTGGCATCCTAGCTACTCAGGAGGCTGAGATCTGAGGATCGTGGTTCAAAGCCAGCCCGGGAAGGAGAGGCTGTGAGAGTCTTTATCTCCAATGAACCACTCAGAAAACTGGAAGTGGCGCTGTGGCTCAAGGGGTAGAGCACAGGTCTTGAGCTGAAGAGCTGAGGGACAGCGCCCAGGCCTAGAGTTCAAGCCCCACGACCAGCCAAAAACAAAAAGAGAGAGAGAGAACTCCAAGACAGGGCTGGGCATGACAGGATTCCCAACAGGCACACACACACTCCCCAAGAAACGTCCCCCTCCGAGTAGCCTCAGGCACAACCCCAGATGGGGAAACTGAGTCTTCAGTGGGGGTGAGAAGTCAGCATCCACATCTCCACATCTAGAAGCCACAGGGTCTAATCTCCAACCTATGTCCCAGCTCCCAGGAGACACTCACCGTCTTCAATGATCACTTTAATGAGTCGAATGGAGCCAGCCCGGGCCTTGGCAAAGAATTCCTTCAACTCCTCAGTGGCTACGAGAACAAGAAACATGGTGAGGGAGTTTTGAGCGTGGGGGCAGAGTGAGCAGGAGCGAGTCTGAGGCCCTCACTCTGTCCCTATGGGGTCTGGCGGCCGAGCTGGGGAAAGGCTGGTTAAAAACGATCTTCCCATGTGACTGGGGAATCTGAGCCACTGAACACAAGCTCCCAAATTTAGCCAGCAGGAGTGGCAGGCGGGTGGCGGATTTGGCCCAGAAGGTGCTGGTGGGTGGGGAAGGGGCAGGGATGGGCAAGCTAGGGCAGCTAGGACCAGCCAAGCTGGCCACAGTGGACAGTCCACACCAGGCCCCTGTTTCCAGGAGGAAGGCGGCGGGGGAGGGGGGCGATCTGAGATTCAGTAATGACATATCCATACAGAAACAGACAAATTCTCCAATTGGACACTACATCCAATCACACACGGTCTACCACACATGATGGTAATACACACCAGTGGGAGGCAGAGAAAAGTGGAAATGTGTAAGGGAAAAACAAAGGAGGAGGCAACAATGCTCAGTAACAGTTATTCATGTGGGCTGGGAAGGTGGCTCAGTGGTAGAGCGCTTGCCTTGCATGCCTGAGGCCCTGGGTTTGATTCCTCAGCACCACATAAGCAAAAAGAAAAAAGCCAGAAGTAGCACTGTGGCTCAAGTGGTAGAGCGCTAGCCTTGAGCTGAAGAGCTGAGGGACAGCGGCCAGGCCCAGAGTTCAGGCCCCACGACTGGACCAAAAAAACAAAAACAAAAAGCAGTTATTCATGTAACTGTCACCCCTCTGTACAGTATTTTTACAATAAAAAAGTATATTAAAAAACAAAGGGGGAAATGTGAACATTCTTATTCATAAGCACTCACCCAACTAATCAACAAAAGTATTGTTTTTGTTTCTTTGGTGCCAGTCCTGGGGGCTGGAACTCAGGGCCTGGGTGCAGTCCCTGAGCTTCGTAAAAGCTAGTGTTAGCAGGATGCCAGTGGCCCATGCCTGTCATCCTAGCTACCCAGGAGGCTGAGATCTGAGGATCGTGGTTCAAAGCCAGCCCAGGCAGGAAAGTCCCTGAGACTCTTTTCTCCAATGAACCACGGGAAAAACCGGGAGGGGTGCTGTAGCTCAAGTAGTAGAGCACTTGCCTTGAGCTGAAGAGCTGAGGGACAGCGCCCAGGTCCAGAGTTCAAGCCCCATGACTGACAAAAAAGAAAAAGCTAGTGCTCTGCCATTTGAGTCACAGCTCCACCTCTGGCTTTTCTTTTTTCTTCTGGTGATTAATTGGAGATTAAGAGTTTCAAAGAGGGACTGGGAAGGTGGCTCAGCGGTAGAGTGCTTGCCTAGCATGCATGAAGCCCTGGGTTCCACTCCTCAGTACCACATACACAGAGAAAGGCCAGAAGTGGCGCTGTGGCTCAAGTGGTATAGTGCTAGCCTTGAGGACAAACAGACTCAGGGACAGGACCCAGGCCCTGAGTTCAAAGCCCTAGGACTGGAGAAAAAAAAATAGTTTCACAGACTTTCCTGGTGGGGCTGGCTTTGAACCATGATCCTTGGATCTCAGCCTCCTGGAGTAGCTAGATTATAAGCATGAGCTATCGGTGTCCAGCAGCAGGCATTTTTGTTCAGAGATAGGAACACTAGACAGATAAAATCTTTTCATTTTATTTATTTTATTTTTGTCAGTCGTGGGGCCTGAACTCTGGGCCTAGGCGCTGTCCCTCAGCTCTTCAGCTCAAGGCCAACGCTCTACCACTTGAGCCACAGCACCACTTCTGGCCTTTCCCGTTTATGGGGTGTTGAGGAATCGAACCCAGGGCCTCATATTCATGTAAGGCAAACACTCTACCACTGAGCCACTTTCCCAGCCCCAAAATCTTTTTTTTTTTTTTTAATTACTATTTGTGTGCGAGTGTGTGTGTGTGTGTGTGTGTGTGGTACTGAGGAATTGAACCCTAGGCCTCATGCATGCTAGGCAAGCACTCTACCACGAAACCACATATTCAGACCCCAGGTAAAATCTTGAGTTTTGCTAACACGCATGCCTTCTGTCTCTCTCTGTCTGTCTGTCTCTCTCAAACACACACACACACACACACACACACACACACACACACACAATGTAAACACAGATCCTCAGAACACACATACACTCAGCCCCACCCAGAGCAGCTGAACAGGGGACAAGTCCTAGACTGGGGAAAAAGAGGAAAGGTTTTCTGGAAAGAAGCGTGGCCCTTAAGAGATGCCATCTTGAACCTTGTGCCACAGAACTGGGAAATGACCAGGAAAGGACCTGAGTAAAGGTGAATGAAGATCATGGTCAGGCCAGGCACCGGTGGCTCACGCCTGCCATCCTAGCTACTCAGGAGGCTGAGATCTGAGGATCGCGGTTCAAAGCCAGCCTGGACAGGAAAATCCGTGAGACTCTGATCTCCAAGAAACCACTCAGAATACCGGAAGTGGCGCTGTGGTTCAAATGGTAGAGTGCTCGCCTGGAGGCTGATGAGCTGAGGGACAGCGCCCAGGCCCGGAGGTTCAAGTCCCATGACGGACCAAAAATAACAAAGAAAGAAAACCATGATTCAAGTGGGGAAGGTCTCTGCTCGGACCTGGGTCTCTAGATGAACAGGAGCCAGGCCAGCATGACCTTGAGGGCTGTCCTAGAGGTCATGAGGATCCCAGCAGAACACAGCTGGAGGAGAGCTGAAGTCAGAGAATATTTATAGGGCCTGGATTGGACAGCCCAGGAGCTGGGGGAGGGGAGGGAGACTTTAAGTAAATAAACTCTAGTCCTGACCTCAGATGTCCCCCCTGGCAGAGTAACCCTGTGGCTTCAAGCTGTGTACTACCCTCCATAGCCACCAGGTGTCCAGGGGCACACTCAGCCCAAAAGTTTGTGGGTGGTTCAGAGCAGGCCCACTGGGTCAAGACAGAACTTCCCAATGAGCATCTCCACCAAGTAGTCCCTTGGGGCTTCAAGGCCTGGTGTCTACAGGACTTTCCCTTTGCTGTATGATCCTTGACCTCTGAACCCCAAGCTCCTCTAGAAAAAGGAGATAATCAGCCGGGCACCAGTGGCTCATGCCTGTCATCCTAGCTACTCAGGAGGGCTGCGATCTGAGGATCGTGGTTCAAAGCCAGCCTGGGCAAGGAAAGTCCCTGAGACTCTTATCTCCAATCAATCACTCAGAGAATCAGAAGGGGCGCTGTGGCTCAAGTGGTAGAGCGCTTGCCTGGAGCTGAAGAGCTGAGGGACAGCGCCCAGGCCCAGAGTTCAAGCCCCACGACTGACAAAAAAAAAAAAAAAAAGCCAGCCCAGATAGGACAGTTCATGAGACTCTTGACTATCAAGAAGCCGGAAATGACTCAAGTAGTAGAATGCTAGCCTTGAGCAAAAGAGATAAGGGACACCATCTAGGCCCTAAGTTCAAGCCCCAGGACTAGCACAAAAATAAATAAGTAAGGGGCTGGGAAGGTGGCTCAGTGGTAGAGCGCTTGCCTTGCATGCCTGAGGCCCTGGGTTCGATTCCTCAGCACCACATAAACAGAAAAAGCCGGAAGTGGCGCTGTGGCTCAAGTGGTAGAGCGCTAGCCTTGAGCTGAAGAGCTGAGGGACAGCACCCAGGCCCAGAGTTCAAGCCCTAGGCATAGCACACACACCAAAAAGAGGGAGATAATATTTGTAAACTCAAGAGTCGTAGCAAGCAGCAGAAAGGAGGAACAGGAACTGGGCTTCTTAACCCCCATGTGCGTGCTGTAAAATACCAACAGCAAGGAAAAAGACTGTGTTAAACTCTCTCCTCTTACCTGTCCAGAGTTAGGCAAGGAAGGTCAAGAAATTCCCCTGACTTGGGACAGACAAGACAAGCGCCTTCTAATGTTACCAGGGCAAACTGACCCCCTAGGAAAAGACATTGCTTCTTCACCCCACCCACTGCCTCCTCAGCCACCATCAATAATCCAAGGCCAGTAGCCTGGGACACCTGAGCCTTCATCATCAAAGATTCATTATCCACCCCCCCTCCATTCCAGTAAGCTTCGGGTTTCAGTCCCTGCCCACCCCCCCCCCCCCCCCCCCGCTCCACTCTGAGGTCAGCCGATCGACATCTATGTCCAGAGACAGGACTGGTGTGTGATCCTCCTGTTATGGTTCCACAAGAGCAGGGAAATAGGAAGCAGCTTTGTTTATAGGCAGAAGGGGAGCTGGGGAGGGCAGGGACAGCAGAAGGAAAGAGACAGGGCCCTGACCACAGTGCCCATCAGCAGGGGGCTGACAAAGAGGGAAGGCTGGGTATCAGTTCTTCACTTGGGGGGCAGGATCTGTTCATGAAGCCCACCCTTCTAGTTCCTGACTTAGGCTTCTATGGTATCTGGTTCAGCTGGTCAGGGTGGACAGGGAGTTGGCCAGGAAAACCCTGGCCACTAAGTGGCCACAAACACCAAGCTGAGACTCAGGCGGTCAGGCTGGTCGATGGTGGTAACCCTGGGCAGGGGATCATGATGTGGCCACTGGAATGGCTGATGACCAAACCAACCCAGCTGTCTGGGCCCGAGGCCAAGAAACCCTCTAGGGCCAGTGATGGGCCTGAGATGCTAAGGTCAAGGTAGATCATCTGGCTTCAGGCCATTGCTTCTCTCAGCCTATCCAAGGAGTATGAGTGTGATGCTTTGGGCTGGAGAAAGTTGGAGAATCCAGGGCCTGGACTTTCTCCACCACCTATTTATCTGGGTCAACCCCTCTATAGCCGCTTTCCACCCTGTTTCCAATGCCAGCCAAGGCGGATTCAAGAGATCACACAGGAAAAGAAAAGGGTGTGTGTGTGTGTGGGGTCAGAGGCCAAGGTCAGGTGGGCTACTTTAACAGTGGTGATGGCTAGTTTCCCCCCAAGCCTGGCTCGCAGGAAGGTATTGGATCCTAAGGAGAAATAAAACTCCGAGATTCCCTACCGGCCACACACATTCATTCATAAGCTTAACACAAGTCCTAAGAAGACATGGCGTGCGTGCCTGTGTCCATGGTAACAAATGCACACCGAGATGCTTCCCCCTCCTCCCTCCACCAGGAAACTGGGCACACGCGCACACACCCCCACATACACTGACACGTGGTACACCCTGCCAGAAACCACTGATGTCTGAAAAGGATCCCCGGGCCACCCCCCAACCTCTCCTTCTGTAGGGCTTCCAAATGGCTCCCGGGGGCACAACCGTGGACACCCGACGATCCTACGTGTGCACTGTGCACGTCCAACTTACATGTTCAGGCCTCAGGACCGGCCACGGGAAGATGCGGGCACACAGGAGTGTGTACCCCTACATACACACACACATACACACTCACCTACTCCAAGCCCCATCACACACCACCCTAGAGGTGCATATGGGCTTAGCCTCCACCCACACCCCCACACCCCAGAAAGGAACAAAAATACCAAGACACAGGCACAATTACCCCCCCATCACCAGATGGCTGCCCCCCCCCAGCACCCCTCTAACCAGCGAGCTGTGATCCATCCCCACCCCCCCTAGAAGATGCCATTTAAAGAAGAAACAGGAAGCTTTGGCTGGCCGGATGAGGCGCAGGGAGGAAGAGGATGGGGGGGGGGGGAGGAAGGCCTGACAAGCCGGGGTGGGGTATGGGGGGGGAGCAGCCCGATCTCGGTTCTCACCGTGGATGCCCGTCTGATGCGCCATGGCTTCGATGTCTCCGCTCGGCGCTCAACCACTTGGCCCTGGCCCGGCCGGAGCAGCAGGAGCAGCAGGAGGAGGAGGAAGGAGGAGGAGGAGGATGTGGCAGCGGCCGCCCAGCCTCTGGCACAGCTTCCCGGGGCGGTGCCGCAGGACACGCCCCCTCAACGCGAGGCTCCGCCCCTCGGTGGGCGTGGCCTCCGGGCGGAGGCGGGGACAGCGGGCCGTGCGCTCGCGCGCGTGCGCACAGCCTACGCCTGTGGCTGGTTGGTTGATCCGTCCGCGGTGGGCGGGAAGTGGGGGGAGGTGGAAAGAGGGGGTGTGCCCTGGGCAATCCTTGGGCATCAGTGCGCCCCACTTCCTCCTCCTCCTGGTGTTTGGTGAGCTCCAGGTCCCTGTGAGCGGGGGAGACTGGGTACCCTTCCCCTAGATGCGTTTGTCAGATGCACCCCAGTTTGTGACAGGGGGGGGAAAGGGGGGTGGGGAGGGAGGGGGGAATCTGTGTGTCTGTGTGTCTGTCTTTTTATTTTTATTCGTGCCAGTCCTGGGGTTTGAACTCAAGGCCTGGGCTCTGCGAATGAGCTTTTTTTTTTTTTTTTTGCACAAGGCTAGCATCCACTTCTGGCCTTATTTATTATTTCTTCTTCTACTTCCTTCTTCTTCTTCCTCTTCCTGCTCTTCCTCCTCCAATTCTCCTCCTTTTTTCCAGTCCTGGGGCTTGAACTCAGGTCCTGGGCTCAAGGCTAGCATCCACTTCTGGACTTACTTATTTTTATTTCTCCTCCTCCTCCTCTTCTTCCTCTTCCTCCTCCTCCTATCTTGGGACTTGAACTCAGGGTCTGGGCCTTTGCTCAAGGCTAGCACTCTACTTGAGCCACAGTGCCACTCCCAACATTTTCTGGGTATGTGGTATTGAGGAATCAAACCCAGGGCTTCAAGCCTGCTAGGTGAGCACTCTATCACCAAGCCACACTCCCAATCCTTTTTCTTTGGTGGTGGTTCATTGGAGATAAGAGTCTCATAGACTTTCCTGCCCAGGTTGGCTTTGAACCTCAATCCTTAGATCTCAGCCTCCTGAGTTGCTAGGATGACAGACGTGGACCATCAGTGCCCACCTGAAAAAGTCTTTTTATTTCTTTCTACCCTCAATTATTGTTGTTTTAAAGGTGATATACAGGACCTGGGAAGGCGACTCAGTGGTAGAGTGCTTGCCTTGCATGCATGAGCCCCTGAGTTTGATTCCTCAGCACCACATAAGCAGAAAAAGCTGGAACTGACGCTGTGACTCAAGTGGTAGAGCACTCATCTTGAGCTGAAGAGCTGAGGGACAATGCCCAGACCCTGAGTTCAAGCCCCATGACTGACCAAAAAAAAAATAAAAAAGGACAGACAATTCAATATATGGAGTCTCAGCACTGGTTTCCTTAGAAGAAAACTTTCTCTGAGTTTTGACTCTTATCTATCAGCTAGATCAGGCATCATCTAACAAGACTTCGACTTGAGGGTTGGAGGGTACTGGGCTACTCAGACTCTCCTGCCTGCTCAGCTGGGTCACGCCTCCAGCCCTGCTTTTGTCAGTCTTGAGGTTTGAACTGAGGGCCTTGGTGCTGATCCCGAGCTTTTCCACTCAAGGCTTATGCTGTACCACTTTGAACTACGGACCCACTTCCAGTTTCCTGGTGGTTTATTGGAGATAAAGGTCTCACAGACTTTCCTTCCCTGGGCTGATTTTGAACCATGATCCTCAGATCTCAGCCTGCTGAGCCACTAGGATTACAGATGTGAGCTACTAGCAGACCAGGACTTGTGTCACAGATATTTGAAGACAGTGGGGCCTAACTGGTATGGGCCTGGGCCTAAGGTAAAGATAGGTTCTCTTCATATAATCCCTGGGGCACTGACCTGTAGGGTGTGAGAGACTTTGAGTTGGTTTCTTGGAGGAGGAAAGGGGAAGAGTAAGAGTGGGTAGCTTTCGAGTCAGCTACAGTCATAATGGGAGTAAGAGAGCCATCACCAACTTCCCCTTTATGGGTGAGAGCGCTCCATTATGAAATGGAATTCGTCTTGCAATGGAACATAACACTGACGGAAGATCCACAGGTGTGGACTCGAAGAGGGACATTGCTGCTGCTGAAGGTAAGCCACGAGTCAAACCATCCCAAAGAATGTAGCCCATTCTTTATTTCTTTTTTATTTTTTGTTGGTCATGGGGCTTGAGCTCTGGGCCTGGGCGCTGTCCCTCAGCTCTTCAGCTCAAGGCAAGCCCTCTACCACTTGAGCCACAGCGCCACTTCTGTTTTTCTGGTGGTTCATTGGAGATCAGAGTCTCACAGACGTTCTGCCCCGCTTGGTTTTGAACTGGGATCCTCAGATCTCAGCCTCCGGAGTAGCTAGGATGACAGGCGTGAGCCACCGGTGCCTGGCTGCAGCCCATTCTTTATTTCCCAGGTCCGAACTTTGGTTTCCCCCCCCCACACACACACACACTCTCCCAAATCTCATAGTTGGGCGCTAGTGGTTCACACCTGTCATCCTAGCTACTCAGGAGGCTGAGATCTGAGGATGGAGGTTCAAAGCCAGCCTAGGGCAGGAATGTGGGTGAGACTCTGATCTCCAATGAACCACCAAAAAAAACAAACAGAAGTGGCACTGTGGCTCAAGCAGTAGAGTGCTCGCCTGGAGCTGAAGAGCTGAGGGACAGTGCCTGGGCCCTGAGTTCAAGCCCCAGGACTGCTCCCCTCCCAAAATAAAGCAAAACAAACAGTGCCCAGTAAGTTCTTTCCATCCATGGGGCATTCACACCCTGCCAGGTGTCCAGGACAGGGCATCAGGACCCCCCCCTCTCAAGATGGGGAGGGGGTCACTCCTTGGTGGAGAGTGAGGGGGAAACAGAGGCCTGGGGGGGAGGGAGGTGGACAGGGAGACCGGGGGACACCTTGTTACCCAAGGTGTGGGTAGGAGAGGCCTGGAAGGGACATCCTGTCCCCATCTTCCCCTTGCACAACCCCCCCACCCCGGGGGGGGGGGGGGAGGGAAGAGGCCACTGCCCCTTCCAAGGCTTCCTGACTGACCCAGTGCTGGGGGTGACACTGGGGGGGGGTGGGAAGAGGGGGGGTGCGGGGGGTGGGTGGGGATGGGGATGGCGGGTGCGGGGGGGGGGGGTGGGGATGGGGGGTACGGGGGTGGGTGGGATGGGGTGCGGGGAGGCTGGGGATGGGGTGGGCAGGGGGGTGGGGGGGTGGGGAGGCTGGGGATGGGGGGGTGCGGGGGGGTGCGGGGAGGCTGGGGATGAGGGGGTGCGGGGCGGGGAGGCTGGGGATGGGGTGCGGGGGGGGGGGGATGGGGGTGCGGGGAGGCTGGGGATGGGGGGGTGCGGGGCGGGGAGGCTGGGGATGGGGTGTGCGGGGAGGCTGGGGATGGGGTGTGCGGGGAGGCTGGGGATGGGGTGTGCGGGGAGGCTGGGGATGGGGGGTGCGGGGGGGCGGGGAGGCTGGGGATGGGGGGTGCGGGGGGGCGGGGAGGCTGGGGATGGGGGGGTGCGGGGGGGCGGGGAGGCTGGGGGATGGGGGGCGTGCGGGGGGGCGGGGGAGGCTGGGGATGGGGGGTGCGGGCGGGGGCGGGGAGGCTGGGGATGGGGGGGTGCGGGGGGGCGGGGAGGCTGGGGGATGGGGGGTGCGGGGGGTGGGGAGGGGCGGCCCCGCCCCGCCCCGCGCCAGCCGCCGCTTCCTCCTCCTCCTCCCTCGGGCTCCCGCGCCCCCCGCCCGGCCCCCGCGCCATGTCGGCCGCCTGGTTCCGGCGCCGCTTCCTGCCGGGCGCGGCGCTGCCCTCGCCGCGGCCGCCGGGGCCGCGCGCCAGCCCCCGTGCCCTACCGCCGGCCCCGCTTCCTGCGCGGCTCCGGCCCGGCCCGGCCGACGCCTCCTCCCGCCGCCCCGAGGCCCGGCCCGTGCGCAGCCCCGCGCGGGGCCGCGCGCTGCCCTGGAACGCGGGCTACGCCGAGTGAGTGTCCGCGTCCCCCCCCCCCCGCGATCCCCCCGCGATCCCCCCCGCGGATCCCCCCCCCCCGCGACCCCCCCCGCGATCCCCCCCCCGCGATCCTCCCCGCGATCCCCCCCCCCGCGATCCCCCCGCGATCCCCCCCCGCGATCCCCCCCCCCGCGACCCCCCCGCGATCCCCCCCCCCCCGCGATCCTCCCCGCGATCCCCCCCCCCGCGATCCTCCCTGCGATCCCCCCCGCGATCCCCCCGCGATCCCCCCCGCGCGATCCTCCCCGCGATCCCCCCCCCCCCGCGATTCCCCCGCGCGATCCTCCCCGCGATCCCCCCCCCCCGCGATCCTCCCTGCGATCTCCCCGCGCGATCCCCCCGCGATCCCCCCCCCCGCGATCCTCCCGCGATCCCCTCCCGCGATCCCCCCGCGATCCCCCGCGATCCTCCCGCGCGATCCTCCCCGCGATCCCCGCGCGATCCTCCCCGCGATCCCCCCCGAGATCCCCCCCCCCGCGATCCCCCCGCGCGATCCCCTCCGCGATCCCCCCGCGCGATCCCCTCCCCGCGACCTCCCCCGCGATCCCCCCGCGCGATCCCCCCCGCGCGATCCTCCCCCCGCGCGATCCTCCCCCCCCCCCCGCGATCCCCCCCCCCGCGCGATCCCCCCGCGCGATCCTCCCTGCGATCTCCCCGCGCGATCCCCCCCGCGATTCCCCCCCCCCCCCGCGATCCTCCTGCGATCCCCTCCCGCGATCCCCCCCGCGCGATCCTCCCCCCCCCCGCGATCCCCCCCCCCCGCGCGATCCCCCCGCGCGATCCTCCCCGCGTGATCCCCCCCGCGTGATCTCCCTCACGTGATCCTCCCGCGATCCCCCCCCTCCCGCGATCCTCTCCGCGATCCCCGCGATCTCCCCCCCCTCGCGATCCTCCCTGCGTGCGATCCACCCCCTGCCCTGATCTCCCCCCCCCATCTCTCCTCTACCCCCTGATCCCACCCCATGCCCCTGATCCCCCCTCAGGCCCTGATTCCCCCCAGTGCCCCTGATCATCCCTCATTCCTGATCCCCCCTCCCCTCCCCCCATCCTCTGTGCCCCCATCCCCTCTGATACCCCACCTCCTGTACCCCTGATCCCCCTGCACCCCTAATTTC